GAGAAAATAAAACTAGAAAATTTTAATTTGGATAAATTTACTAATAACTACTTATAAAAATGAAAAATTAAAGAGGTAAAATGAATTACACCTCTCGTATGAGTTAAAATTAACTTGTATATCTTAAAAAAATTTTAAAAATTAATCATTTAACTTTTCTAAAATCTAATTAAACTTTTGAGAAATGTTTGATTTAATTATTTTACTTTCTTATTTCTTCTTGTTTAAGTATTTATTAAGAAGTTTATTTTAATTAAATTTAAATATAATAGTACTAGATAACCCGTTCCACTTCAACAAACGAAGACAAACTTTGAACTCATAAAGGTGAAACTTTATTGATGTCTTATGAACATTACTTATGGTGGTTCAGATATGATAATCAATAACTAATTACAACAGCGGCACAAACAAATTAAAATCCACAATACAGCAGAAGTTCCCTACTGTTGAGCAACTTGAGCTTGAGTTTGCCAATGGATTTCAGACTCAGAAACACGTTTCTTGTATTGAGCAATGAAAGCAGTAGCTCTGATATCAATGACAGGATCAGCTACCCCCCAGCGACCTCTATCCTCATCACTAGGCCACACTTTGGTCCATTGCTTTGGCCCATCATCATAAGCATCTCTATACCCTCCACCTCTTTGCCTGTTGTTAGATTTGAAAATGTTGAAAACAGACTTGAAAGAAGAAGATTTCCTTTGCCTGTTCCCTCCCATGATGGCTCTTGGCTAATGGAAATTAGCACTTGAGGGTAGAGTGTAGTGAGTGAGTAGTGAGAATATTAGGCTTAGTGAGTAAATGATTTGAATTGTCTTGTGTTCCAAGTTGAAGGCTAGGGGGTCTCTATTTATATAGCACTACTAGACGTCTTATGTTATGTAGAGACAAGGGAATCTGATTCAAACCACCGGTAAGTCCAATATTCATGGTCCAAACAACCTCACATGGAACAGTAAACAATGATTCAACTTTTGGGCAAGGCACATTTTCTATGGTCCGCTGGTTTCTTGCTTGACTTGAATAGTCATGTGATTGGTGTTTGTTCTGTGTTTTCTTCAATGATGCACAACTGTTGGGCCTTTCATTCGCCTCTTAGTGTTTTAGTTTCCTGTTATTCTTTGCATTGTTTTATTTTGTAAGAAACATTTTACTGTTTTTGCATGCATTTTTGCACATGTTGAACTAGACAGATACCTAGCAGATATGATTTCTCACTAATTGGGACAATCAAATTCTTTCTCTGTTCAGTCCTTTACCGATTGGGTATTGGCAACTGTTGAAAATGTCACTTCTTTGCTAGATTTATCTAAGAAGCTTGATCTATGATCATACTAACTTTAACTATCCTATAAATTATAGAACTAAATGTCAGGTAAGATCTGCATGGATATTTTAAAACTAATGATCGCGATTATAATAAAATATATTAGTGATCATAATTTTGCAATTTACCTTTTAAAGTGTACCCTTTACGTTAGAGTAACTAATTCAGGTTTAATTCTAACCTTAGCTAGGTACGCAACCAAATAAGATAATAACAATCTCACAAACAGCATAGTAAACTGTTTGAGATGGCAGTGTCAAGATAAAATGAACAGTAAAAGCATTTATTTAAGACAATTACCTGTTCACATTAACATAAACATGGCTAAACAAAATATAATTAGTGTGAGGAATAAGATCAATGGGTTATTAACTAAATGAAGAATGAAGAAAGGTAGTCAAAAAATAGCTTTGTTGATTTGGTTCATGCATGCACATCACACAGGATAGGATGGTTTAGGTGTTTTTGAAATTTTATAAGAAGAAAAGAGTAAGATTAAAGTGATTTAAAATTATTTAAAAACAAAAGGTGATTCTTCTTTTCTTACAAGTTATTCTCATCCAGGGAAAGTCCTCAGTGGCTACAGACCGGTGGCTGCCAGCTGCAGGAAAGATTCATACTAAAATATATACTAAATTAACTAAAATTACAAGTTTTTACTTGCGGACTACTTAAACCCAAACAAGCAGTAAACAAGGGTATTGCTGCTGAAATAAAAAAGCTTTCCCTTTTCTTCTATCACTACTTGCAAGTTGTCAAGCCTGGGAATCTGGAAAAAAAAATATCTAATTTTAAATATTTTGTAAGGGCCAGTGTTTGGCATACCCAACTCCCACTCTTAGACACGGCCCTCTATATTATATTTATATTCTTTCTTTGCATTTGAACTGCTATTTTATGTCACCCTCATTATGCTCCCTTGCTGTAATCACATTTAAGCATTAAAAGTAATGTAGAACTGAAGAATAATGTGCGTTTTGTGTTTAATACTTAAATTACACGCTTTGCATAATTCTAGAACAATAATAACAAATACTCTTCTTAGGTGAGCACAAGCCCCAAGGCGGTGGTAGTTTGGAAAATAGGCAGCACCACATAAAGTTGGATGGAATATATATATATATATATATAGTATAAATTTTTAGTTCTCAAATTCATAATATATACATACATATATATACATGTTTTCCACCATCGAGAAAAACATTGAAATTTTACCTTTTTCATTTCTGCAGAAATATTCTTGACTGCCCAAATATTTGAAAAAAGGAAAATGAATGAGAACTTTGTAGTTTACTCTCTGAGCAATTAATCATGCTGTATATATATTTTACCGGTTGTCATGCTGATAAACGAGAATTTGCAACAATAATTATAGTGAAAGGTTATTTTGAATCTGAGATCAATATAGTTATACCCACCAAAGAAGGTTGAAAAGGACACTTAGATGTCTTGGGTTACTTTTAATCCAAAAATTTCAAGGTTTCAAGCCAACCAGAAGACAAAGGAGATTAACGTACGGATAATGGCTGTTTTCAATGTTGTAATTTATTGATTTCCTTTTGTATTTCCCTATCTGATATATATCCAATATCAAATTTGTACGGATCCTGTGATTTAACTTTGAAATATTCGCATCTTATATGATAAACATGTTAAAGATTATCTATTTGTTTTAAAAGTTTGGTGTAGCTTTTTGAAAGAAGATAGAGGTTAATTCTTTTACATATTATTTTGTCTGGTCGAAACGAAAAGGAAAAAGTTGAACCAAGTACCAACCCTATAACTCAAACTAATCGTCTAATCCCATTCAAAGTGATATATATCCATTTACATTTTTTCTATTATTGTTTGGATTTAATTGGCTTCAAAATTCGATTCACAAAAATAATTGTAAATATGATTAATTATCGAATCCAACCAAATTATTTGGTAATTACTTTTGAAAAATTCTCAATTCAATCCGAAGTTACACTTTGTCATTGTACTGATTCTTTAAAAATTTTGATCAATTAGTTTTTTCAAAAAATTCTTTGTGTTATCACAAAGATTTTAACATCAAATTAGTTCTTAAAAAATTGATCTATTGCTAAAATAATATCTTCACAACTTTAGTCCTCCGCAAGGACGAACATAACAACACTTTAACCCTTTTAGAGATTAATTATAAATGTATGATATAAATTTACATCTTAAAAGTGTATATATTGTATGAATAAAAGTTTGTTTTTGCAATTATTTTATTATTGAGTTAGATTATGTATACATGTTTTTATAATTTTATTTTTTTCTTTCTACTTCATCAACCATTTTATCACATGTTTCCCATTCTTCTAATACTATCTTCTTGTATGCATGTGTGTTGCATGCTTTTTATTATATGAACAATTAAATAAATATAATTCCTTTTCATTAACCTCTATTATATAAATGAGAATTTACTATTTGAAAAATAAAACATTAGTTGAATTATTCTTTTTACATTTTTACACGTATATATTTTAAAATTAAAATTAATTAAAAATATTGTGTGAATTATGCTTTCTCTTAGTATAATTATTTTTTCTAACTCATATATTTGTTAATTTCATTCTAAATTTTAAAAATTACCTTATGTATTTTTTATATTTTTTGTGAATATTTATTTTTATATTTATAAAAATTATTTCAATTTACTTTTAAGAGTCACATCTTTTAAATTTATGGTTATTAATATATATATATATATATATATATATACATATATTATTAATTATTGACATTTAATTCAAAAAAAAATTTTACCCTATACAATAAAAGTATTATTTTAAAATTATTTAATTTTATTATATGTTTATCATTGTAAGACATACTATTTATAGTTATAGTTATAGAGTTAAATTCAAATATTTTAAAAAAATTATTTAAAATAATTATATTATTTAATTATATAATAAAATAAAATACCTGTGCATTCAGGCTAAGGGAGTTTGAAGGTCATTTACCTGTGTAATAATTAAAGATGGTTTGTTTCATTATGAGATTTCAACTACTTTTAATCAAAAAGGTAAAACAATTCTCCCCACAAGATTCAGCTTGAGATCGATCCAATGTACTTTTTCTTAATTTAACCTTTATTGATAATCTCATTTCACACTACAGGATATATTCTAACATGATAAACCAACGCAACCAAACTAGCATGCAAATTAATTGGTATGCCGATAATTGGGTTGCCTCGTGAGTTGAGAACCAAAACAAACCTAATCTACTTTTAAAAATGTTTCTGAAAAACTTTTGGGTCAAAACCAACTTATCCACTGTTCTTTTCATGACTTCAACTATTGGGTTGGGTTTAGGTTGAGCTCGAAGGCAAGCAAACCAACCCAATGTCTGTCATCCATAAATTGATGACTATTGAAGTGTTTATTTGGTGAGGAACGATTGAAAAAGATATAGCGAGAATTAGATTGATAAGTGTACAATAAATTTGCATTTTATTTTATACTTGATGTATATTATTAAAATAATACATTAGATATATTATGTTATAATATTTTGTTTATTTCTAACCTAGATTCTCTACAGGATAAAATTTATACTAGATAATAGGATAAAAGAATAGAGTTATCATATCGTGCTAGTTGTTAAACAAATACTAACAATACAATATGAGAAAAAAAAATTCATCATCCCAAAACCTTCCTGGCACCATTTTATATTCATTTTGAACTTTTAATCTATGGTTGCACTAGCAACAAGCACTCAATGTCAGCAACGATGTTCACTTCTTCCATTGGCAACCCATAATTGACTAGAGAATCTAAATAGAGCAGAAATTTCAAATCATCCACCTATTCTCATTGATACAGCACATAAGAGTACATTAAATACATTATCTACGGTTCAGCACGGCATTAGATGAAAATGGTCCTTCAAGTACAACCACACAATACTTCAAGTGAATAGTTTCACGGGTGCATCTATGAAATCTATAATGTGAACCTGCCCATGCTAGTTACAGATGAGCTTATTTACAACACACTAACAAGCTCATTAAAACATGCTAGCATAATCTCCCAGATGTCTCTCATCAGGCAGCTTTTGCGAAACCAACTCGGAGATTCCCATAGTCAAAGATTGTGTGATATACCCTCATGAAAACATCGCCGAGAATCCTTCAGGCAGATAGTGATTGCGGTATCAGAAAAAAATAAATTGATAAAGGGCAAAGCTTAGAACGTGAGATATAAATTCATGCGTGGATGTTTTGTACTATGCATAAATAGAACAAATTGGTGAACGTAGTAAGAAAAACATACCAGAGAGGACCCCGTGGAGGAGCAATGTCAAAAGCAATAAACCCACTAAGACAAACTTCTGCAAAGCCTTCTCCAGTTTTCAAAATATACTGTAAAGTACAGAGCATTTTAAGAACCAGAAAAATAAATAAATAAATCAAGTGTTGGCATATAGATAATGGTAATATCATAAATCTATACTTCAACATGCTCTCCAATTCAATTATGTGTCAACATCTTTCGGAAAGTTTTTATTAGTTTTTCTTTCAATTATAATTCCATATATATATATATTTCTACCCAAAAGCGAAAATATTCACAAATTTATGAAGTAGAAACTTCCTGGCCCCAATGTTCTTTTGACACTTCGTATATTATGGAGTATAATCATGTACCAAAGCTGCATTGCAATTTAATTTAACAAAATCTCAAAACCTAACCTGCTCTGGAGTGAGGATGAAAGGTTTATGTCCAATAGTAATCGTGATGTTTGGTAAATGAGAAATGCTATTACAGTTTACTACTGACTCTCCATTTGGGCTTGGCAAGCTCTCGCACAGCTGCCAGCGATCGGGTGAAAAAAAAAAAATCAGCACACCATATAATGGGATAAATTTAAACAAGAATTGGATTTCAGGATGGGATGATTCAGAAGGCCTACTTGATTTACGTATTCAAATACTCTATCCTTGGTTGACTTTTGTTTTAGTTGATTTTGGACCCAAATCACAAGCATCTGACAGGAAGTGCACAAAGCAGTATCTTTAGCCGACAACTTTCCCTGTTCCTTTTCAGTCACCATCTCGATTTCATTTCTGCACAGTATTATTATTCAAAGTAAACTTAGGAGTCTATATCAGCCAAAATCTTCCAATGGCAAAAGAAGAAATTTATAAACCTAATTGTAACTAAGGGTATCAATCCCTGAGAAATGGATTGGTAATAGAGGTTCATTGACAATTCTTTCTTTAATAGAAAACTCCTGCATATTATATACTTGATTATACTTAGACATTGACTTGCAGCTCATAACCATAATTATCAATCATTCATCCAACGTCTTCAAATCACTTACACTATTGAAGTGTACTGAATCAAATATGACAAAAAGCGCATAGAAATATTGATATATAAAATTGGTTATTACAAATAAAAAAAGGAAAAAAAAAAACTAACCTCTCTGATTGACCCCTTTTGGCAAAACATAAACCAACCTGTGAGCATACATCACTAGGTCGTACCTGCAAATCAAGATCAAACTCATTTAGGTCCAAAGAGTGAAAACGCATAAGGGGAACAAGCAAAGAATGCTAATCAAAGGTGAAAAGAAAACCTAAGGAATCCCATATCAAGAAAACTTACCCCTGATATCAAGAGATCCCATATCAATTCTCCATAATCAGAAACAATTTCCTTACATTCTACACTTAAAATTCCTTCGGCTCCAATAGCATGATTGATTTCAGTTACAACAGTCTGAAATTAATTAGCAGTCAATAAAAAGTTATCAACAATAAATCACCAAAAAGTTGTCAGCACTCACAGTTGGACCAGCAAGCAATGATGTTCCTGAATCCACAATAGCAGCACAGCCACCCTCACAAACACCTAAAAATTGCATTGATATATTCCACAAATAGATTCACTTGCTAAGTAAAGATTCTGGCTAAAAAAAAATGCAAAGATACACTTTGTACCCAGATAACATTTCTTTAAAATATACTACAATAAGAAATAGTCTTAGTGGGATAAGACTTGGTTGTTATTGTTGTTATATAATAAGAAAGAAGGGGGAAAATACACTTCAAGTTTGTTCCTTATACCAATTATAAATCCTTTCAACCACTCACTTGCTCACTTATTTCCGAATAACTTCCAAAAGAGAACTATCCTACTGTTCAAGAACAATTAAGTCACCTGTTGAGAAATCTCCAATAAATAAATCTCCCATTTCAATCTGAAAAAGAAAATATCCATGTAAGCTGCTTTTCCACAATAAAAAATACATTTAAAAAGTTCCTGACCAAACTAAATTTTTGTTTCACTAACCTGCCAGTAACCTTTTTTAGTAACTGGAACATAAGTATGATTTCCTTTGAAGTGTTTTGGATCAGCACCTCCAAAAACTAGTTCACCGCCCTTTTTTGCTTTTGGATCCCCATTGAGCCAAAAAGAGAACACCTGCTCATCTACAAGATTTTGCTCCACCATATTGTACCTGCAATTTATAACGGATAAGTAAATTAAAGGACATAAAAGATTCACAATTTGTCCTAAGGATAGGACGAAACACACCATACTGGCACAGAATTTCCAACTGAGATCTCCTGAAACCCAAGCCCAAGTAATCCATCAAACTTCGCTAACACAAAGGAAAGACTTCCTTCTCGAGTAGCCTCAATGAAATCCTACAGTTAAAAGGAAAATATAATAGTGAGTTCTCTCTGAGTATTGCTGCAAAACTGTACAGTCTAGACGTGGGAGCTCATATATAAAGAAGCATTCACCTGATTCTTGACAACAAGAGTGCCAACATTAACATTATCTTTACTGAAAAAACCAGATATTGATCCAGATCCATATCTTATTTTACATGATGTTCCTGATTGACAAGTAGAAAAGCGAGTTTGAACATATTAAATGTCATCATATTAAATGGCATCTGAATAGCATACAGTACCACGTAATAAACGAGTTGCATCATTGCTTCTACCACTACAATGAATATGAAAAGAAGCCGGCATTACCATTTTTAGTATATGTTTTGGATTTCTTTGACTTGTACCATCGATGGGTATAGCAGGCAAGCTGTAAGATAACAATTGTCAATAGGACTCTAATACATACCATGTTTGTGAAGAACGAAGGCATAGGAGCTAATTTGAAAACTCACAGAAAAGTAGCACTTTGATGATGGAACCCAGAGGTTGGAACTACCGGTATCAAATATGACATCAAATTTCTGTGGGGGTGTGCCAATTCCAATCTCCCCATAATATTGAGCATCCAAATAATTCTTCAAAGGTACTATACCCTCATCGGTTGGTTTGTCAATGTACTGATCATATGCACCCAACACTGGTCTGGCAAATCTTAGCTTTTCTCTAACCATTCTAGCTGCTCTTATACTATCAAGATCTAGACCTCTCTTCTTCAAACCAATTCTCACAAGTCCAAAGGAGAAAGAAGGGAGCAGTGAGCATGTTAAAGCCCACAAACAAAAAGCCAACCACAAATATTTGTGCCCCATAGTCAGAGAAAATCTGTCAGACAGGATAATATGAAAGTGTGAAGAGATGGATATAGTCCCCTTGTTACAGAAAAGGAAGCAACCATGAATCAGGGAATGAAATGAACAGTAACACACTAAGTCCTCGCAGCCTAATTTCCGCCTTAACAGAACCACATATAATTAAATATTTAATCAGATAAACCAATAAGATGATATTATAAAAAATATTCTCAGGGGATTCAATTATTCTTGCAATAATTTTCTTGCCCCCTATTTAGAATAAAGCTTCCTCTATCTTCCGATAGTAATTTTTTACACACAATAACAACCTCTGTATGGTAAGCTTTTATTAGAATTTACAAAATATCACAAAATTTAATAATCAATAACATTAACTGTTAGATTTTTTAATAAAAACTAACTTTTTTCTTTTATTTCTTAACACATACCCTAGTGTAAAAAACATTAGAAAAACTAATTGTTTTTCTATACTAAAAAAAAAAAAAGACAGTTAAAAAATGGGAAAAATCCACTCAGCAGCAATATACCTTTCCCAGATTTGGTCAAAGTAAGATGGATCTACAAACATCATATACAACGTTATTAATGATATTATTAGAATGCGTCCCATATCACTTCTTATACGCAGAGCATCAGTAAGCAGCACAGCAGACTAATTTTATAGAATCCGTAGTCTTCTTCATCTTATCTCTTTATTTTCAGTTGATTTATGTACTTCTACGTTCGTTTAACCCATAAATAAAAAACATAAAGGACAGGTAAAAAACCCTTTTAACAATATTCTACAGAATCCTGATATCCATATGCGGAATATTCGAATAGATGCTTCAAACGAAAAAAAAAGGGTAAAAGTGAGATGACACGTGTTACACAGATATCATGGAGAGAGATCAAAAGCAGTGGAAATCTAAAGATAAGACACCACCGGAGAGAAATCAACTGAACTGAACTTAACATGATCATAAAATGATAAACATAAAAAGGAAAAGAAAAATCAAAATGAAATCTGTACTAAAAGCAAAATTAGAACAAGGCAAGTCCAGTGGAAAAAAGAAGAAATCAAAGGAAGCAAACCTTGACTACAGGCTACAGCAGATGATGGTGAAGGAAGTAGCGTAGTACTAAGGTGGAAAGCTGAAACGAAGTGAGTGTAGACCGTAGAGAGTTGAGTTTATGGAAGGACAGATAACTGCAACGCTAGGAACAGCGACGAATGGAACAATTTATAAGCAAAAATATAAATGTATATGAATATGAATATTAATTGCTATATAAAAATATCTGCGATGACAATAGCAATGCCACGTTTTTCTTTTCTCTTTTATTAATTAAACCAGGCTTCTCGGCCTGATGCAGTAATTATTAGGTCTAACCCGTTAAAATAGCGCATCAAAATATCTAACATCTCGCTCAGTTTCGAGTTTAATTATTTTCACGCACTCACTTAAATATTCCATTTTTTTCTTATTATATTTTTATTTTTAAAGTGATACATTTTTAATTAAATTTATTATTTTTAATTATTTATCTTCAGTTCTGTAAAACGAGTTAATAATTTTTTAGGTAATATAAAATGTTTTTGTTAGATTATGTCCAATAATATTTTGTTATTTTTATTATGCAAGTTTGACTTGGTGTCGCTAGTTTTTTTTTTTCACAGTTGGATATGTTATTTGAGTAGTTTTAAATAATTTTGAATTGTATTCTTAAATTAAATTATGTACTTTTTATCTCTTTAAATATTAATACGTTTTATAATTAGGTTCATTTTCAACATTAATAAAAATTTTAGAGTTTTTTAATGTAATTCTTGACATAATTAGTAATTAATTTTGAATATTTGTTTTATATTCTATGATTTCAGAAGACGAAATAAAACTTTAAATATTTTTATTAATTTTAGAAAAGAAAAACTAAAATGTATTTAAAAATAGTCATTTGTGACATTAAAAGTTATAAAAAAATAAAATATTATTGAAAAGGTTATTTAGATTGAAAATTTTATTAATTTCAATATTTAAAATATAATTTTTCAAGCTGAATTTAAGTATTTAATACTAATAATATTTTTTTAAAAAAATAAATATTTATTATACTTTATTTCTTTAATATAATAAATAGTTTATTTAATAATTAGTATTATATTTAAACATTTAAACACAATCTTAAAACTTAAAGTTAAAAAATAAATTATTTAAGATTTTAATTAAAATATATGGTTTATATATATTATTATTTAAAAACTATCATATAATTAAAATTAGTTTTATTTTTGTCGTTATGCACATATGATAAAATTAATTTTATTTATAATGATTAATAATGGAAGATTTTATAAAAATTTGAATTTTATTGATAATTATTAAAACGATATTTAATTATAAATTTAATTGATATATATTGATAGTATAATGTTTTATATATTATCATCCAATTACAGATAAATATATTAGTAAATATTATTAATTTTTGTAATAACTAAAAAAGAGGTGTGATAGGGAATGAAATTATAACTAAAATTAAAGTCTCAATTTTATAATTGTAAAATAGAGATACAACCTTACTTAGGATAAAAATTAATATTATCATCATCAACATTACAAAAATTATATAAAAATAATTGTAACATTTTCAAATATAAAAAACTATAAAAGTTTATTATTATTATTATTATTATTATTATTATTATTATTTGTGTAAATTATTAATAAAATAAATAATTAAAATTAAATTATTTTTTCAATTTTTTATATATTATAAATAATATTTTTTAATTTTTATTTAATATAATATAATTATTATATTATATTATATCATATGATAAAGAGAGTCAAATTTATTAATATTATCTGTCAAACTTGAAAACTTACGCCACTTAATAATTTTGTATATAATATAAAATTAATTAATTTAATAATTAAATCATCTTATAATATGTTTTTAATTATATTAAATATCACATAAGTTGAATATTTATAAATATATCATTCAAATTTTAATATTTATTTATATTTTAAAAACATACTATACATTAAAATAAAATAAACACAATAAAATACTTATTCATTTTATTTTTTTATAAAATTTTATAAAGTTAATCATTTATAAAAAAAAATTAAATTAACAATTAAATTGATTAATCTTATATTTTTAAAAATATATATAAAGAAACTAAATTAAAACAACACTCAGCATAGTCTGCGACTAATAAAGAAAGGATAAAATTAGGTGGAGAAATATAAACAGTTAATTCCTCTTTTGCTAATCTATCTGCCACAAGATGGGCTTCTCTAGGAATATAAACACACAAAAATGCTGAAAAGTGAAAAAATAATTCTTTGATTTGTTGAACGAGATCGAAACATGGATGATGTCGAGCACACCCCTCCTCAATTAACTTAATTGCTTCCATGAATCTGATTCACAAGTGATTAGGTTTCCTACATGACGGTCCTTGAAAAATGGTCCACAATTCAACCATGAGGATTGAGACACGTCCTAATTTCCTGGAGAAGGCGAGTACATTCAACTATGCTTGAGTTAGCTTCAATATCATGGATCAATTGACAGACTGCAGGGCCTACAGTGCTCCATTAAGGTTTGTAGAAGATTGCTTCTAAACCATTCGAGCCCCGCGATTTGAAGCCTCCCACACGTTTCATAGTTGCCAGAACCTCCTCATCACAAATAGGCGCACCAATATGGGCTTTTATCATCATCATTAATGTGAAAACCAATTTTTTGCCACTAATTTTTTAGAGAAAAATGGAAATTTTTTGAAAAAAGAGACTGGTTTCCGGAACAGAAGTCTGCACTGTACAGGCTTATACTCCTGATATCAAAAACCGATTTTAAGCATAAAAAAGGAAAACTCAAGATTTTTGGCATTTTGTAAAAACATAAAGGAACTAGTACAAAGAAGCAAGTAAGAGATCCAATGAGAGTATTCTTTTTTCCTCTAAAAAAGAAAACAAAATTTTCAAATGAGTTTTCATAGGAGAGGAGAAATTTTTTAGGGAAACAACACAAGTTTTTCAGCGAGAGCAAAATTTTTAAAGACAAAGTGGAGAACAAATGAATATTAAGAAAGAAAAACACGAAATAGGAGACAGTACAATCAGAGAGAAGACTAACTGAAAAAGGAGAGCAAAGACGAAAACCAAAAGCTAAAAGAAGAAGAAACCAACCACTTAATCTCATTCTCTTTGTTCTTGGTTCAGATGCTAACTGTATTTAAGGTATTCTATTTTTTTCTTCTTTCTTTTTCCTTTGCATTCGAAACTCATCTTGCTCTAACTGGAACTCTAGTAAACTCTTATAAAAATGAACCGTGGAGTAGAAACCAAATAATACAGACATAAAGTTACTTATCTCAAACCACTTCGTAAAGCTTCATATTCCATTTTTTATTTTATATATATTATTATTAAAATAAAAGTTGAAATGACCTCTCGACATTCAATATGTCGAGAGTTATAAATGCTTGCACCCTCAACATTAATTTTCAATGCTACTTTTGGCGCTTTGTTCTTCTTCTTTTTTTATTGTTATTATATCATGTTAAATTTCTTATTATTATTATTAATTTTATTTATTTATTTTAGTTTTGGGCTCAGTAACCCTTGTTAAAAAAAAACAAAACATTTTAAGTCTAAATTTTTTTAGGTTATTTTTTTTCTATTTTGACTATTATTTTATTTATTTGTCTTTAACTAATTTCAGTGAAATTAGTTTATTATTATTTTTTATACCTTTAAATTCAACTTACCTTATTTTATGTTACTTTTATAATATTAGTATTTATTTTGATATTTTATTTGATTTCTATTTTCACTTATAAAAGGTTTTCTCTTCATAAAAATTAAATAAAAATAAAATAAAGTAAATTACTTTTTTATAATTCTTGGATTTTCTTTCTTGTATCTATTTCATTATTTATTTATTATTATTGTAGCATTATTTTTCTTTGCTATTTTATGTAGATTTAGAATGTAATTTGATATTCATGTGTTTTGTTTCTATTTGTTTTGGTGAATGACTTATAGTTTTTTTTTTTTTGTTATATAATCAATTAATAAATAATAATATAATTGCATCAATTTATAACACAAACTTATAACTTCTCTATTGTCATGTATTATAAATTGATGAAGTTTATGTGTATCTACGTTGTCAAGACTTTATGCAATTTTAATTTATCATATATTGTCTATAATCAATTAGTTAACCATATTAACAATTAATCAAGATATATTTCTCTTCTAATTACTAACTTATGAATCAATCAACTAATTTTAATTTAAATTGTCTTATTAATGAAACAATTTATAATGCTAATGTGTAGAGACTCTGCCTCTGTGTGTTATAAATTGTCAAAATCAATTTGTATCAATGTTACTTTAGGTTCTATATAATATAAACTTATCAAATGAAGTTTTTAATTTTTTATTAAATAAATATTTTCTTTAATCAATTCAAATATTTATTTATTTTTATTAAAATAAAATTAATTTCATATTTTAAAATTTCTTAAGTCATATTTCTAATTGTGATAAATTAAATAACTAAACATTTTCTTACTTATTTATACAACTTTCTATAAAATCGATGTGTAATTTACATTACCTTTGATTATTCAATAAATTATAAAAGATTTATGTATAGCTCACGCTATCTTAAATTTTCTTTCAACATTAATCATAATTAAAATTTAGATTTAAATTTAAATACTTAGTTTATGAATAAAATATTTTTAACGATTTATAATATAGTTGTGTGATCTTCCTTCACCTTCTGTATTATTCCTTATAAAGTACATGTATAACTATGTTATCTTGTATCTTAAATATTTTAATTTTATAAATATAATTTTAATCTCAAAACAAAATTTTTTTTTACTAAACTTAATTTTAATTAACCAATTTTGTAATTTTTAGGTAAAACTACGTGACTTTTGAGTTTCTCATTGCACAGGATACATAGGAGTAGGGAACCGAACCCATCGAGTCAAAACAATTTTCAAAATAAATTTTCTCTTTGTTAAGATACCTAAACAATATCTCAATAAATAATTTTTTTTTCGTCTAAAACGAAGAGAAAAAAATAATTATTGTTTAGAGGTTAAATAAATATTTTTTAAATTTAAGATAAATTTACACAACTAATTTAAGGTAATTATTTTAAAACGGACGTTGTAGGTGCTAATACCTTTCCGACACGTAAATAACTTATGAACTCATATTTTGTTTCAAAGATCATATTATTTTTAAATTTTTTTAAGGTTTTCTGAAAATAAACCTTGGTGGTAAGTTCTCTAATTTTATAAAAAAAATATTTTTATTCTTAAAAGATATTTTTCTTAAACAAGTTTTTTGCGATCATTTAGGTCGCGACAATTAAGCTTAAGGAAAATGTTTGATAGACAGAAAGGTGCAACATCACTTGTATCATAGAACAAGATTTTATAGAAGTTAGTTACCAATCTTAAATTATTTTTTGGTGAGACCCATTCATTACTGTCATTCAGTAGTTTTTCAACTCTTTCTTTCTTCTACATACGATGGTTGATATGTGAAAAAATTGACTGTTTCAATGACCCATCTGAAGCCATTTGTAACGTGATTTTTGGAACCATATTATCTCTTCTCGCTTCAAGATAAGGTCTAGTTCAGATCATAGCTCAACCTAAAGTTTTTCCAAAAAATGGTTGAGGCCAAGAAGAAGCTCATATGCAATCTCATTCAAACGCCTAAGAAGCCTTTGTTTTGCATAAAACACGTTCCCAAAAGTAGTTTTGTCCCACTCCATTAAAGTTTGCTTTGTATGCCCAACCTGCTGGTTCCAATTAATTTTTGCATTCCATCCATTCCGTATAACATTATGGAAATCTTCATGAGTAAGCTAGGCAGCCTCAAAACAGAAAGGTGTCCTAGACTGACGCACTGAGTGAATTATGCTTAATCGCAAAAGAATTGGGGAGTGATCAGATTTTAGAGGGTTGAGATGTGTTAACGATGCTTCAAGGAATATTACTCGCCAGTTATAGGAAGCCAAAGCTCTGTCCAAACATTCAAACAAATTGCCTCAACATCACGTGAAAGGAGCGCTTGTAAAGCCCAAGTCCAAAAGGTTACATTGATTTATACAATCATGGAATGCAATGTCTCCTCTAATAATGGATCTGCCCTTACTGTCTGATCTTTCTTGGTTAAAAAAGACCGCATTGAAGTCTCCTATTAACATCCATGGACCAACAACTAGATTTGCAAGGCAGATGAGGTCTCTCCAAAGTGGTATATGTCCTTGACTGTGGGGACTTGCATATACCATGGTGTAGAACCACGTCGAGTCATCATTATGGATTTTAAGATGAATGAATTGAGTGATGTGTTCAAGTACGTCAATTTGCCATTTACTTGAGTTCCACATACACCATAAACCCCTTGCGTGGCCTTGCGCTTGTACTATGAAGCACTTATCAAGCGAGATTCTACGTGTTATCTGCGATGCCTTGTCCACACTCATGTGAGTTTCCATTAAGCAAAGAAGTCCAACCTTGTATTCATTAATGATATCATTAACCAAAGATTAAAACCCTCGCCTGTCGGCTCTCCTACAGTTCCAACTTAAACAATTCACAAGGAACCACTAATATAGGTGGGTTGTAAAACCCCTGACATATCTGCACTTGCTTCATTAACCACTCCTTGATTAGTAGCATCACTGGAAGAGCACGTAAAGCTTGGGTCCAAGTATTGTAGCATCTTCATTGCATAAGACTTCAATTCAGCCTTAGCCACGATCAGTTTGGTCGAGAACTGATTCACAAATAGGTTAGGGTTAAATTCAGAAGCCACGGACTGAATGCCTGCAAGTACTCTCCTGGTATTCTCCTTCTATTCCATGGCCATGTTTAACGTGGATCCAGATTGAGGATTCGCATCTACCGCGGGTGCAGAAGGCAGTATGTTTATAGCATTGAGATTACTCTCCAAGGTCCGAGGTCTTTGATGACCACAGTGCCCATCTTTGGCTTTAGATGGTTATTTTTCGCTTGTTGGTTATTTTTCCCCGCCTTAGGGTTACGAATTCTTGTTTTTTGAATCTTGTCTTGGGAGGATATGATAGTTGTGGGTTGTTGCATGGATTGTATGTCACTATTCATGTAGGAAATATTTGGAAAGAGGGTGTTTGCCCCTTACAGATGTGGCAATGGAGTCTTAATAATGGTTTGGTTTAGGCGCAAATCTATTGCATTCTGTGAGTATCAGGATTGGAAACTACCACTTTTTAAAATTGAATTAGGTAGATTTTTTCCAGATTTTCTCTTCCGTTAACCACCATCCAAGGCCTGTAGAATGCCTCAGAATCGGGGATAGTATTATCTTCTTCCGTGATGTGCGCTGCATCATCAACCAGAGGTTGTGCATCCTTGGTTTGGGTGGACTGCATTGTTGTGTGTTGATCATCCACATGCAAGTCCATGGTGCCCCTATTTGTTGTATCGTTGACACCATTCTAAATGGAATTATGGGCCACTAGGTCAATGCACATCTCTTGTCAGTGCCCATATTTTCCACATTTGAAACAAATTGCATGCAAACCTTTGTACTCTAATTTAATAATATGCCCCAAAACGTTTATCATAGAAACCAGTTTTTTATTGAGGTTGATCTCTACACAGATCCTGGCAAATTTCTCACGTGAATAGATCAAGGTCAACTTGTCAATCTTCAACATTGATCCTAGTTTGTTTCCCACACACCATAGAAAACGATCGTTATAGAGCTCAATGGGGAGGTCAGGAATACGAATCTAAGTAGCCACTTTCCTTGTTTGAGATATCGTCACCGTGAAGAAAGGCCTCCATCTTTACACCTGAATGTAGTGGTCAGCAATCATCTAGGGGCCTTCATATAAGGCGTGGCGATAGTCTTCTTCTGCCGTGAATTGAATCAAAAAATAGTCATTAGGCATATCAATCATGCGCATTGATTCTATCTTGATCTAGTCTCTATTAACTTTGTTCTCCAATGCCTTGAAAGAAATATGTTTACCCAGTATATGGATAATAAGCACATTCTTCCAGGGTGAGTACTATTCCTCAAACTTCTCTTGTGAAACATTAATGATAAGGCATGAGTCAGGGTTAGTCTCCTCCTTCGCCATGCAGTCATTCTCTTCAGTGAACATTTTAATATTTTTTTTATATTTATAACTCAAAGAATAAAAGAAAAATTAATAATATTTTATATCTAAATGTTTTTAAGATTTAAATAAGATCTCATTTCTATAATTTTTTTTAAAAATATTTAATTTTTTAATCTTTATTTTATTAGTAGGTTATTAATTTATTTAATTATTTACTTACATAAGATTTGAATTGATATATATAATTTAATCAAAATTGAAGCAAATAAAATATATTATGAATAAATATTATATTTTTAATAAAATTTTAAGTTATAAATTTAAAATTTTAAAATTAAATTAACAAATTATAGTATACTTTTATTCATATTAATTGTGTATCATATTATATAAATTAACATACGTCACATAAATAAATAAATAAATTATTATTAAAAAATAAAAATAAACTCAAAATTTCCAAGAATCAAAATCCTATTTAAACTTATTTTAAAAATGGTTTTTGGTAATCTCTTTTTACTTTTTATAATAAGAAGACAAGAAAACACCTTCACAATATCAAATAAATTGTGAGCCCAAGTCCACTTTCTCCCAGCACGGCTGTGTTCTGTTGCACAAGGTGAAGGTAGAGAGCAGTAACGCCTTTGTTTTTTGAGGTAATTTTTATTACTTGTGTCAGTCTGAACTGAAGCTTTGATTCAAATTCACCTTCGCCATTGAAGAATTCTCTCCGTTAGCTGTGATGTGACCACTATTCTCTTTCCTTTCATACCCACTATTCCTTTCTTTATGTTAAATCTCAGGTTGCTGCAAACCGATTGTCAATTCATTTTTTTTTCTCTTTCGGCCGTTATTCTTTGGTTCTGATTCTACTTACAAATTAAAATCTGGTGTTACCTTTAATTTGATTGTTTGACGACCTTGCTTTGTCTCACGTGCGCTCTAACTGTTCGAGGAAATGTCCCATTTTTATTGTCATGGTCTTTTTCATATGTTTGCTTGCGTTGCGAACGCTGATGCATAATGACTCTGTTATATGCTTATTGTTGTATTAGAGTGATTCAAGTGACCAATGGGTGGTAGAGATTAGTTATGATGTGTAATAGTTAGTTGGTTCCATGGGCTATATAAGCTTCCTATCTCCTCTTGTAATCTAACCTCTTCACTCATTTAGATTAATACAATTTTATTTTTTTCTCAACTTAGTTTACTTATTCTTCCATTTTAGTTTCTATTATTTTCTCTGAGCCATGTTTCTTGACAATGGGGATAATCAGGTAACCAAAACGATGTCGCTGAGGCGTTTCTTAGGGTATTCTGATGGTGAGCTCATGAGGCCTGATGCAAAACCTTGTTCTAGGCTAATGAGGCACACGGCCGCAATCTATAGTGTTGGTGGAGCATTAGGATTTTGGGTTCTTTGCAGAATGCACTATGGTTTAGCTATTCCCCTCCCTTTCTTCTGAACTTTCAGTTCTAATTTATGCACACACAGATACAATATACACATCGAAAATCTCTTTCTATAATTTTTGAGTTTTTTCATAACAGTTCATCATTTTTTTTGCTTTGTTGGTCATGTAGGTCCTCGAATTACAATTCCTAGGAGTCTTCGTTGGGCAGCTTGTGGAGCTGTGACTGTGAGCTCAAGCACGGCTTTGCTGGTTCGTTTGTTTAGTCCTGAATGTGAGCCCCAGAATATAGCTGCTTATGACAATAAAAAGTAACACTCATTTTGTTACCCCTTTCCTTTTTCCCTACTGATTAATACAAAAAGGGGAAAATGATTCGTTTGTGGTGATGTTATCATTGTTTTTTTATTTTTTTGCCGGAGAGATGAACCAGCGAGATTGAAATCACATCCCTCTGGTAACTTTATAATATACGAATATCCTGCATGTGTAAGTTTTATGGTAAGAATGTCGTCTTATGGGATAAGAAAGGGAAAATTAGGCTAATTACTCTCACTATATTTAGCTATTACAAAGGGTAAAACATGTTAACTATGATTAGGTTTGGCTAGATATTTAATTTATATATAGTTTATTTAATTTAAATAGACGTGTTTAGTAGATGAGCTTATGTTTCTATTTCCATTTCTTTTCTATATGTTACATAAAATATAGTGTTTAAATTTATGGTTTATAACTTATTGTTTTTTACCCTTAATGTTTTTATAAAAAAAATTCATTTATTGTCTTACTTTAAAAGATAAGACTACTCTAAGGGTTCATTCTTTACTTCACTTTACAAACAATTTTCCTTTCGAAGAACTTCTTTCACACGGACACAATTTCAGTTATAATATTTTAAATAGATGATCATAATTTTTTTAATGGAGATTCACCAATTTTAACAAATTTCTTAAATATAAAATTATATTTTATGACTATTGTATTTTATTTTTTAGCATAAAATTATATGTAAAATACTAGATCAATAGACAAATTTCTTTCAAAGAGAAAATTAATAAAAAAAATATTAATCAAGTCATAAACAAAGTATTGAGTTGTTTATAAAGGGAAAAAAAAGTGACGAATTAAGCTCAAACTTTAGAATATTTATTTGAGATAAGCTTAAATATTAAATTTGCTTCATTTAAATAAATAAGTTGCACTTGAATCTTCTTTTTATTCTCCTTTCTCCCAATTTACTGTATTTTTAAATCTAGCTTGCTAGTTGATATAACCCTGCTTATACTTAATGCATCCTACTTATGATCATATTATTGTTATTATATTTCACACATATCTCAAAATAAATATAAAATAAATGAATACATACATTCGAACACCCACTTATTTGAGAATAAATTCATTGATATAAAACAATTTTTTCAAAGACAAAATAAGTCACTCCTTGATCATGTTTTTAATACTAAATGTAGTTTCTTAGCTTTCATAGCAAGTATTTTATGTGTTCTTTAACAAGATTGTTAGGCTAAATCATATAAAAATCTTAGAAGAAAGTATTTGTAGTTACGTTGGATTTTATTTTATTTTTTAACTTCAAGATGCTTACAGTTCATTTTTAATTTTTTTTTTCCACATTATTTTGTGGGATAAAGTGAGCTGAAATAAAAAGAAAGAAAAAAAAAATGGTGAAAACTAGAGCTGGTTTATTATAAATGAATAAAGCTAGCAAAATGATTCAGTCATTTCAATTAAGTCTATTTTTAAGCTCAATTAATTATAATTTATTTATTTAATTCATTTGAGTTATTTTAATTAAATTTGAACTTATTTAATATATCTAAATGTAAAACGTCAGTTTGAATTTTACTTAAACTCCTATTTTTATAGCACAAATAAAACACAAGTTTTTTTTAATCCGACAGGGTTCAAAACTCAACCTAAACTTGTGCATAACGTATTCCGAAATTTGTTGATTTTTTAATCATTTTTAAACATTAATTATTAAAAATATAATTTAATGATTAATATTTTTAAAAATTTTATTTTAATAAATACTAAAAAAATTATGGTGTGATAAAAAAAAATTGTAATGTATACAGTAAAGGCTCCATTTAACATGAGTTAACATTTAAGTAATGCATGTGTGAATTAGCATGTTATAATCATTAAATATATTTAAAATTAAAATAAATTAACAATTGAAGTCTTTTGTCTTTATTTAATAATACTAATTTTTATAAACTTATTAGTTAATCCTTTGTAAAATTTTGAAAATTTCTCTTTAGATATTTAGAATTGTTATTTAGATCTTAATATAATTGGATTTATAAAATGTTCAATTTTATTTTAGATTGTCTTAGGGAAAATCATGCATCCAGTTGATAATTTTAAGAATTAAAACTTTAACATGCATTTTTACAATTTCAATTCATTATAAAAAGTAACATTTGTATTATTAGAACTTTTAAAGTCATTTTATATCTTTTCTACATAAATCTCTTATATAGTTGGTAATTTTAAGAATTAAAACTTTCATATATATATATATATATATATATTCTTGCATGTTCAATGCATCATGAAAAGTAGTTTTTTATTAACAGAATATTTAATGTCATTTTAGATCTTTCTCATGCATTATACTCTCCTTGCACACTTGTTATATTTGTGTAGCATATTTTCTATAAAATTTGCTTAGGTGAATTAAGGAGGAAAACAAATTACTAATTAAAAGAAATTGTCTAAAGCTTGCAATAATTTGCTTAAACTAAAAAAAAAAATTTCACTGTGAATAAGTGTTTGCTAAAGCAAGCGAAAGATAATCGCTTAAGCGAAATTGTGGCTAAAGACTTTTACATTGTATTATTGTATGATTTGATTATTGAATAGATGTATTTGATAAAATTTGTTTAATCATTCAATTTTCTTGAAGTAACATATATATCAAAACTGAACTAGTTTCATTTTTGGGAGGACAACCAAAGTCTCTAAGCATGTTCTTGTAACTTTTAGGTAACTTACATTATTTAGGAATCAAGAGATGTAATAGAAAAAAAAAATACTTTTCATACTCTTCTATTTTGAGATTGAGATTTAGGACTATAATATATGAGTTGAGTTCTAAATCTCAATCTCTACTCACTTGGGCGAGATCTCTACTTACTTGAGTGAGATCACTTCTTGCCTAAGTGAGAGGACAGATGAGCCAAATTTATTTTATCTCGCCTGCATGAGACTTATTTCGCTTGAACGAGATTATTATGAAATTACGTGGTTCTGGATGCTCAGTCTCGCTTAAACAAGACATGTCTCTCCTAAACGAGACTCCCTTTAACCATAACTTTATCAAACATTCATCAATTCAAATTTAAACATATTCCATCATTACCCAATATTAAAATAATTATTTAACAATAAATAAATAAAAAGAGGGTGTTACAAATGCCATAAACACAATCTATTATGCACATTTAGTCACACTCTATAACATTTCTCATCGCCACATTCCCATTGGTAATAATTGATACTTGTGTCTTATCTTTCATTACTTCCATGAATTGTTATGATAATCACACATAAGTTTTTTCAGTTTCATCTCTTATAATTGCAACAACAAATATTGTAGTTTGGTTGTGATGATTTACACCTAAAAATACCACAATTGGACAACGATACATATTCTTTCTATATGTTGCATCAAATGTCACATTATAAAAAATTTATAATCCATCTAACTAAAGTCATATCACTCCAAAATAAATGTTTCAATTCATATTTCTCATCTACTGATGTAATGACAAAATATTAGTGGACCAATCAATCTCAACTCAATAAGGTATTATAAAGTAACTCATAAAATTCAATTCATGCATTTTTCTTTGCCTTTCAATATGATTATATATATATATATATATATATATATTATATTTTACAAAATTTTATTTTTTTATATCTTCCCATTTGGGTAACAAAGGAACAATATATAAGATAAGACTCTATACTAGCCTTCTTGAAGCTATTCAATTGCATTACATCTAACTTGCTCAAATTTTTATATGTCAGAACTGTAACAATAAATTGTTCATGTAGTAATACATGATTATGGTCATACAAAAAATGGACTATATACCATTGACTAGAATTCATATCTATAACCATTTTAAATTTTTCTTAGCAACCACACCTTGTTAAAGATCTAATTTGACACTCACTATTCTCATCTTATCTATAACAAATGAATATTTGTTATAAAATTTCATGTTCATTATTTTAAAGGATCGTGCTTTTTTAGCAACAAAATCATTTAGTCTTTCATACCATGTATTAAACAAGTACATTGCCTTCAAACTTATGAAATGAATATTTCTTAGTTAGTGAGGGCTAAAGTTTTTACGATCCAGGTTAAGAATGTCTTCCAAGCTATTAATGTTAATTATCATATCATTATTATCTCCTTTTCATATTTCATCATCCATGTCATCAACACAAGCTTTATCAACTTCACCCTCATTATCATCTTCAAGATTAGAATCACCTTCATCTTCTAAGTCTAATAAAATTTCCTTCAATCCCTAAAACAAAATCAAATAACATATTAAAAAATTAAATTTGAATCATGGTAAAAGAATACACTAGTATTCAAGTTACTTTAATAATACCTTTGTTGATGTAATTACTTTGAGAAAAAGTAATCTATTACTTCATTACTCATGTTATTCTCCATCTATTTAGTCATATATTACTAACTTCTGAATAATTTTTGCAAAATTCAAACTATGCCTACTCTTAAGAAGTATAGTGATTAATCATTTAGTAATTAATAGGATGTAGGAGATATATGATAATTTTTAAAAATTCAATTAAACAATATCTTTGACTAAAAAACTAATAACATAAAATGCTATTATACTTTATAAAATATTTGCATCTTACGTGATTATTGAGTATATTTGATTAGTGTGATTTTTGTTGATAATTTAGAATTTTTATGTGTAAATAGTAGAATACTTATAGAAAAATGTTAAAGAAGTGATTATATTTTTAAAATAGTATATTGTTCATTTTTCGGTGTTCAATTATCTCTATTTAGTTATTACTCCTATTTTTATGTAGACAAGATGTTTATTATTAAGAAAATTAAGATAAGTATATAATGTGTTTAAATTTAATTGATTCTATATATAATATCACAAATTCAAAATATGATAATGTATAGAGAATACGATTATTTAGCTTATTGAATTTGAAAAATAGGGTTCATTTGCTACTTAGGAGGGAGAAATTATAATTCTACATGTAATATTAAAGTAGGATAAGAAATAATTGGACAAACCTTTATGTTATTATTTTTAACGAGAATTACCTGATTTCATTACTAACGGGGAGTAATGTTGATCGACAAGTTAAACGAATGCGCAAAAAAAAACTTTAAAAATATTTAATATGATCTTTTAATTTGAGTTTATCTTTTAGTCTTTTAACCTTGGACTTTAGTCATAATTCGTGAATCATTATGTCAAACTAACGAGTAAAAATACAAAGAAAAAACTCAAATTATTTTAAAAAATAAATGTAAAAAATAGTAAAATTGAGATAATAAAATTGAATGAAAAGGAAATAAGAAGAATAAATCTATTATAAATTATTAACAATTAGGTTTATAAAACAATTGTCTTAAAAAATTAAAAAAACTTCTTATAAATATATAATAATTTAATATTCTTAATTTATAAAATAATCCAAAGACTAAAATATAAATATCCTAACTTTTAAAATTTATTATAACATGTCAGTTACTAATTTATGGTTGAGTTCACATTAGCCATCACCAACACTAAAACCTAGTTTATTTTGACAGCTTAATATATATATTTGTTGTGTATAAATGGACATGGTGCTGATTAATAGAAAATTAAAGCCCAGTGTGATTCGGGCCCTTCCCTAAACGCTTGACACGACTTGGTAGAGAGAGACGGAATGTCGTTTTCAATGAACATTTTTTTTTTTTTCGATTTTTCGTCTGTGTTCTGCCTTCTGGTTTAGTTTCACTGGCAAAGGCAAAGCAAATTTGACCCCACTCTCTCCGCCGATGACTTTGCGAACCTGAGAAGCGTCTTCTTCACATAATTCGCTTTGGTTTGGGGATTGGCAACCCCTATTCGCTTCTTCTGATTCTCCATCAGGTATCTCTCCATTGTTTCTCACTTGCATTCTCTCTTTTTCTAGGGCTTCCTCTTTGATTGCCGGTCACGCCTCTTCTAAATTTCAGTGCAAACAAAGCCAACCTCTCTCTATCTCTGCTTATTGGGTCCCTAAATTCCATTCCTTTTGGGAGTTGTTGAATTCTAACATTATTATTAATTTTTTGCCCCAATTTATCTATGGCCTTGTGATGTATTTTGGAAGGATAAAAATGCAATACCAGGCTGTGGCAAATATTTGAATTATCCATTGATCATAAATGATTGAATTTTGCGCTTAGAGTTTTTGGTGTTTCTGAATTTGTTGTTGTAATTATGCCTGGAACATTCTTTGTACTGTGGTAGGTCATGGCTGCCACAAAGATAATTGCAATATGTCAGTCAGGAGGCAAGTTTGAAGCTGGGAAAGATGGTTGTTTGTTATATAAAGGTGGTGATGCTCATGCTATTGATATTGATAATCAAATGAAGTTTAATGAGTTCAAGGTGGAAGTAGCAGAAATGTTTAATATTAGAGCCGATGCCATGTCTATCAAGTATTTCCTTCCTGGAAACAAGAAGACTCTCATTACAATTTCTAATGACAAGGATCTACAACGAATGGTTAAGTTTCATGGAAATTCTCCTACTGTTGATATCTACATCCTTATTGAAGAGCTGGCCATCCTTGATGTGTCAAACATGCCTGCCAGTAGGTAGTTATCTGTGTTTTTGAGTTAGTATCTCATTGCTATTTTATGGGGCTTTCTAGGGTTTAATTTTGGAATTGTTGTTCTTTTAGGTCAAGCAGAACAACCTTGTCTGAACCAGTTAATACATGTCTGCCTGATGGTGATCATGATACCAATCAAATTGATACAAGTATGGATATTGTTCATGAAGTTTCACCCATTGTCCCTCTTATTTCCTCAAATGATGAGAAGTTTGCTAAAGGGGCACAGCAGTGGCAGAATACTATCACCGGTGTGGGTCAACGGTTCAGCAGCGTGCATGAATTTCGGGAATCACTGCGTAAATATGCCATTGCTCATCAATTTGCCTTTAGATATAAGAAAAATGACAGTCATCGTGTAACTGTTAAATGCAAAGCAGATGGCTGCCCTTGGAGAATTCATGCATCTAGGTTGTCAACTACTCAGTTGATATGTATCAAGAAAATGAATTCAACTCATACTTGTGATGGAGCTTTTGCAACAACAGGTCATCAAGCTACTAGGAGTTGGGTGGCCAGTATTATAAAGGAGAAGTTGAAAGATTTTCCTGATTACAAGCCCAAGGACATTGTCAATGACATCAAGCAGGAATATGGAATTCAACTTAACTACTTTCAAGCATGGCGTGGAAAAGAGATTGCAAAGGAGCAGCTTCAGGGTTCCTATAAAGAGGCATATAGTCAGTTACCTTTCTTCTGTGAAAAATTAATGGAGGCTAATCCTGGAAGTCTTGCCATGTGCACTACCAAGGAAGACTCAAGTTTTGATCGTCTCTTCGTATCATTTCATGCTTCATTGCATGGCTTCCAACAAGGTTGCCGACCACTGATCTTCCTTGATAGCATTACATTGAGGTCAAAATACCAAGGGACATTGTTAGCTGCAACCGCTGCAGATGCAGACGATGGTGTATTTCCCGTAGCCTTTGCCATTGTTGATGATGCCGAATCTGATGATGGCTGGCATTGGTTCTTACTTCAACTTAAATCGGTGCTGTCAACGTCTTGTCCCATAACATTTGTAGCAGACAGAGAGAAGGGGCTGAAAACTTCAATTGGTGAGATATTTGAAGGTTCTTTTCATGCATACTGTCTACAATACTTGACTGAGCAACTTTTTAGAGACTTGAAAGGGCAGTTTTCTCAGGAGGTAAAGCGACTGATGATTGAGGATTTATATGCTGCTGCTTATGCAACAAAGCCAGAAGGCTTTCAAAACTGTATGGAGAGCATTAAAAAGATTTCTGCAGAAGCCTACGATTGGATTATACAAAGTGAACCCCAGAACTGGGCAAATTCATTTTTTCAGGGTACTAGGTATAACCACATGACATCAAACTTTGGCGAGCTGTTCTATAGTTGGGCAGCAGATGCAGATGAGCTGCCAATAACACAGATGGTTGATGCAATTAGGGGTAAGATTATGGAGTTGATTGTTTCCAGAAAGGCAATATCTGATCAGTGGGAGACTAAGTTGAGTCCATCCATGGAGGAGAAGCTTAAAAGGGAAAACCAGAAAACAAATTCACTTCAAGTTTTACAATCAACCTGTAGCACATATGAGGTTTGTGGTGACATAACTGAGGTGGTTGATATTGACCGGTGGGAATGTAGTTGCAAAGCCTGGCAGCTGATGGGTGTGCCTTGCTGCCATGCCATTGCCGTCATTGTAGGCATTGGCCAGAGTGTTTATGATTATTGCTCCAGATACTGTACAACTGAGAGCTACAGGTTGACTTACTCAGAGGCTGTACTTCCAATTTCAGGCACAGATTTGATGGATGTGTCTGCGTCAAAAGATACTCAGCTTGTGGTAACAGTAACACCTCCTCCCACCAAAAGACCACCTGGTCGGCCAGCTACAAAGCGATTTGGATCTCAAGAAGTAGTCAAGCGCCATCTACATTGCAGCCGATGCAAGGGACTAGGGCACAACAAGTCTACTTGCAAGGAGTAATTACAATGCCGTAAGTGCATCTTTACTAGAACAATTTATTTAGCTCTGCAGAATCCTGAATTTGCTGTTGAGTCTTAAAAGAGCAATGTTGGGGTTGACAATCAACTTATTTATTTCCTCTTTTATTTTATCAACAGAGTTTGAGCCAATGATTGGTGAAACAGAGAATTATGTGTACAACGTATCTAACTGCTCTTCTGAAGGAAATGGAAGAAAATAAATTAGAATTACTATAGTTTTAGTTGTACAATATGCATGGTAGTTCTATGGTATTGTTAGCCTAAATTTATGAGGTAAGCACTTCTAGTTATGCTTGGAATCTAGAAGAGTTTGATTCTCCCTGTTAGAAATCTCTCCTTAGTGCGGAAATGTATGGCAGACATAAAATTAGCGAAGGACCACTCTGTCTGTCACCTGTTTTATATAGGTCCACATCACATCACATGGAACCATCCTAGCTTCAACCGATATATTCCGCTTCCACATTTGCAACTAGATTGTAAATATAAGGTTTAACTAACATTTTGGTCTGCTAAAATTTTATGATTCTTTTGTCTAGTCTCCTGTTTTTATTTTTTCAAATGCATTTTTTGTAATATATTTTTTCTTCGGCAAATGGTTTTTTACTAACTTGTATTTAATTCTTTTGAATAGTGTGGTTTTTTTATTTGGTCTTTTCGAATATTATTATTATTCATTTATGTTAAAGGATCAAATTAAAAAAAAAAAAGATTAGATTTCTTATTCGCTATTAAGAAAGCCTAATGACATTTACAACCCTAGCGACATTTTCTACCTCGGTAAAGTTATATATAACCACTGTAAATAGTTAGATATTATGTTGCCCTGAAAAATTATAACGCGGAATTAACAAAAGCATAGCCGATTCCAACATTTTTGTGATTGTTTCCAGATTTGGCTGTTTTAATAGTATTATTGTATTTTTTTTTTAGAAAAAAAAGTGGACTCACTACTCTTAATTATTTAGAAGATTAGATTTTGATTATTTTTTAATTTATTATATATAATATTTTGAATTAATTTTCATAATTTATGTTATTTTAACCTCACCATTTATCTTAAAAGTAACTTCTCGTTTTAGTTTAATTTCTGATTTTAAGAGTAGGTTTGTATTTATATTTATTTCATTTGTTTTAGTGATGCCTTTCACACCCACAATTAAAACTATAATTCCAATAATACTAAAAATCTAAAACACTATTTTGTAGCCAAAAATAATACCTAATGTATTTCATATACAAGATTTAATTACTGTAAAAGAGGAAACAATGAGAGTGCTTTTATCTTTTGCTATTGAACTAAACAACAACATAACATATTTTTAATATTTTTTTAACGAATAATATATATATTATCATCATCATCATGATATTGCTAATTTTTTTAATATTTTTATATAAAAATTACAAAAGTAATGCAACATTTTACTTTTTAATATTTTTATTTTTAATTTCTTAAATAGGACAATGATAACTAATTATCTTTTTATTATTATTATTATTATTATTATTATACAAACATGTAATATCATAACGTACTATATATAATTTTATTTTATTTATAGTAAATTTTATTAAATATTATGTGACATCAGAGTTTAATATATTAATAATATTAAATATTTTTAAATTTTAATAGAAAAAATATAATTTATTCATTTTGGAACTTGTGTGGAAAGCGATTTGCTAATTATACGGGTAAAGTTTAGTTACGTTTGCATTGCAGGACAGGCAGTCATCACACCGGATTAGAAAGGGATCCATCCTTCCCAAATTGGTTTGATCTGCAAAACCCTAAAACCTTCCCAATTCCAATGAACATTCCGCCGACAAAACCCACACCGCAGCCTCCGCCGTCGCCTCCGCTCTCCGCCATCGAGAAAGGCGAATGCGCCAACTGTGGCTCCAAGGAGCCCTGGCTCTTCCACCGCGTGATGGTTCGCGGCATGGACAGGCGCGTGTGCACCTCCTGTACCCTCCGCCTCCACCCAACGTGGTTCTGCCCCTCATGCTTGGAATTCTTTGACCACTCTCCCTCTTCCTCTTCCTCTTCCTCTTCCACCTCAACGCAACGTTTCATGTCGTGCATCAAATGCCTCTCCTCCACACACCTCTATTGCATCCCTTCCCCTCCTCCTCCTTCTTCTTCCTTCCTCTGCATTCCTTGTTCCAAACCTAACTTCACCTTCTTCCCCAATTCCAATTCACCCATCGATAAAACCCTAGCTCTCGTCCTCCTCTGTGCCGCCAAAATCTCCTGTGTTTCCATGGCTAAGCATCTCTCCACTGTCAGAGCCAGAGCTGATAGAGCTGTACGCGAGGCTGCCATGGCTAGAAAGAGGGCCAAAGAGGCTTTGGATCGTTGCGCTGTGATTGAGAAGGCTAAGCGCGTCGAGGGTTCACTCGAGGTTTCTGCCTCCAGAAATTTGGGGGTGGGAATGGGAAATACTAATAATAATCACAACGTTGTGGTGTGTAAAAAAGAGGAATTTAATGGGTTTATTGGAGGACAGGGTAATGTTAGGGTTCCTTCCGAGGTTTTGCCTTTGCCCCAACCTGGGAACCAAAATGGGGCTAATGGGAATGATGGCAATTTAGATTTGGAACGTGTACGAAGTTGTGGTAGAATAGTTGATATTGGCTCTGCTACATGATTCGGACTTGTCAAGGTTAGCCTAGTTTTTTTTTTTTCAAATTGACATGGATGGTGCTGGTTTTCACTTGAGAAAATATGAACACCTTGTGTTTGAATGGTTGAAATGCAGATAGATGAAGCCAGTGACTGTTTCTAGTGTTAGTGCTGTGGAATTCTGAGTAAGAATTAAGAACATATTTGACTTGTTTTGGAATGTTTTTCTAAGGCCGTTCTCTCACAGCTGATACTTTTCCTGTATCCATTCCATTTCCCTTGTAAAGTCTCCGTTCCAATGTGACTGTGCAATTCTATTGTATTTTAATTGACCGGTTGTAATTAGGTTATGGGCATTTTTTCCCTGGTAGTGAGTATTAGGTTCAGATGTTAGTCCATTCTTATACTTTCTCTCTCCATTTTTTTCCGTTTTCTTTTTTTGTTAAGTTACCATCGGATGTCAGATTCTTCACAATTATCTGGGATTTGATTATAGCTATCAATTTTGAAATTGGTTGGATTTGGAAATTCTTTTCAATTGGGGAGATTTTTTACGTGTGTTGCATGTATTTGAAAACTGGTTTATTTGCTAGAGATGCTGTCTACAGTATTTAAAATGCACTTTGGTGTATGGCCTATTCCCAGCAAACCCAACAGCTGATAAGCATCAGCGTAAACCTGAGCATTAAATTAAAAACCACTTTATCCTCCATTGGCATTGCTGTTCAGTTTAATTCTCATGATACAAATTATATGTGGCGTTGTTGTAATTCTCAAATATGTACAACTTGTAATAATTTATTGTTGTCTTCTGAGAAATCAAATCATGTCAGTTTTTTTTTCTCTTTTCTAATCTTAAAGTTATGTTTTTTCAAGGCATTTTAATATATGTATGTAAGCTCTCTGCGTGACTTGGGGACGTGGTAATGTTATTTTATGTTGCTTTCTTGTCAGAGTGGGCTGCAATATTTTGCAGTGGTCACAGTCAAATTGCACTCATAATTCTGGTGCTACCCTCAGTAGAACAGCCCATATTTCTGTTTTTCTTTTGCTGGAGAAACGGGTGGGAGAGGGAGGTTGTTTAAATTCTGCTTAGGTCCCTGATCATTAGTTATCAGCATAAATATGTTTTAGTCCCCAATTTTTGTTAGATTTTGATTTTCATCTCTGAAAAATTTTTCATTTGGTTTTAGTTTCTGATTTTTCTAAATTCGCCATTTTTGGTTCCTCTGGCGCAATGGAAAATTGACATGTTACCAACAACTTATTCTTACTTAGCTACATCATCAGTAAGGGCAAACAATTGATTTTGAAAAATCAGGGATTAAAAATTAAAAAAAAGACTAAAAAATTAAAATTTCTCAAAAATATAAGTACTAAAAATATATTTAAGTTTTAATTATTACATTATTTTGTCCCACAGATATTTTCAGATGCTATCTTGACTATCCTTTTGAATGAGTACACATATTTGGTGGTGAATGGTAATGTGATATCAATCCTTATCTTGCTCGAGTGTGATGGCTGATATCTTTGATAGGGAGCATTCAGTGCTTTCGATGCGAAAATCGAAGTTACTTTAAACTTGAAAGAATCTGTTACGGACAAAATAAATCAGGACAAATACTATTCACTGCTTTAATTGTTTGATAGTGTACAGAGAAGTATAAGGCCCAGACCCTGCACGACTGGGAAAGCCAAATCAAATCAAAGTTGTAATTGACAAAAAAAATTGAAAATAAAAATCAAAGCATGTAGTCTTAGTTTAAATTTGAAAAAACAATAGTTTTAATTTAGATCCGGATCTTTTTCAGTTTCAAGAACTAGATCGTTTGTTTATTTTCGTTGAAGTGATTTCAGATTTTTTAAAGCAAATCGTGTAAAAAAATGCAAAAAGGATGCAAACTGCATGCGAGTAAGACGGTAGTAATAGTTGGGCTCTCGGACTTTGGTCTCGCCAAGGATAGTCCAGAAGGTGACAAAACCCACATGTCCACTTGAGTGATGGGAACCTATGGTTATGCAGCATCAGAAAATGTCATGACAGGTAAGTTTAGTTGGATATGGCATGTCCAAATCTTGAAGTTTTAGTTGCTATCTATGACTAAATTCCCACATGTTCACACTTAATTGCTATTTCTATATGATTATATTTTGTTGGACTTTTTTTTCTCTGGAGTCGTTAGTGTTGTTATCGATAATCCCACATTTTAAAAAATTTCTGAACAAAAAATTTGAAACTAATACCCTGTCTGTGAAGTTTAGTTGTGTCGATGTGTTTGATAAATTTTGTTGCATTCTAACCATGTTTATAACTTTGGAAGCATTTGGTTCTAAAGTTCAGAAAGCTGCCCAACTGGCTGCTCACCGCCTTAGTAGAGATCCAAAAGGCAGACCCCTAATGAGTGAAGTTGTGGAAGCTTTAAAGCCCCTTCCAAAAACCTTAAAGGACATGGTACGCTCTTCATACTACTTCCAAACATTGCAAGCTGACCAGCTTTGGGACGAGTCCTAACATAAGAAATGTACTTGGCAAATTCCCTTGAACAAAATTTGTATGCTTTTTACACTTTTTTTACGTGATTTGCTTAGGTAAATTTTAAATCATTTAAGTAAAAAAAAAAAATTAAATGATCATTTTCCTGCTTAAATTAGAGAGGGTCTAAATTCGTTTAATTTGAGGTTTGATGAAATTGATTTTGATAAAATTTATTTCAAACCATTAAATGTGGTTAAGATGTATATCTAAATTTGAATAATATATTTGTGTTGAAAAGCTTGTTTTTTATTAAAAGATGTGAAAAATGATTTTCCAACTTAAAAATAAAGCGGAGCTTTATCTATTTGCAGACAAGGTAAGTTGAGTTCTTTTCTTTCTTTTTGGTTAAGGGAAGGAGTTGCAGTTCCCATTCTTGAGTCAATGCAATATATAATGTAAGTCAAATTGGCATACTATCTTAGATATATGTCTTTTTTCTTTGTTGGTCAACTAGATCTATGTATTTAGGTAGGAAAAACAACCCTCCGAAAATGAAATTGCAAATTCTTTAAAGATGCAGTTACTCCAGACCAATCAGTAACTGAATGAGATGACAATATTAGTTTGTTATCCTAAAAAAAACATGCATTTGATCATTTGTAGCTCCTAAATCCGATACTCCTGCTCACTTTGAGATTGTTAACGGCCACACGATGGAATTGAATACAGAATCCAATGGTGAAAAACATAAGGGTGGTAAAAATTGCAACTACAAATAATCAAGAAGACAACAGAATTTGACAAATACTTGTGAAATTGTTTTGGTTATTTATTTAATAACATCAACGAGGGGACTTATCAAGAGCATCGATATTATACAAGGTGTCTTCTTTCAAAGGTAACACGACCCCGCCTGGGAATGTCTGAAGTTGACAGCTTGACATGCTAATCTGCTAGATTAAATCAGCAACAACAGTGGCTTTCCAGCAATCTTCACATCACCTTCAGCTAATAAGAGTTTAACAACGGACTACTTGATTCAATACGAATTCAGATTCCATCAAATCTGGCCAAAAAGCCATTTTTAATCTGGTCTGCAAAATATAAGTCCAAGAATACCCAAACCTGCATTTCTTACTTAAACAAACCAGACCGGCCTGAAGAAAAATTCAAAGATTCAGGCTTATAATTTGAAGTCCAGCCCTGACGTTTTAATAGGATTAATCAGATTGACACGGTCAAGGCAGACCATTTTGCCATCATACATTTTGAATCAGAAATATGTTAATACTCAAAAATGTAAAGAGAAAAGTAAACCATATCAGCCACTACAAATAATATTTCTTGTCTAAATAGCAGTTGGTAGCGTTATCAAATCATCATGGATATAGCAACATAGGATAAGGCAAGTCATCTGCAACATATAAATAGAAGAAGTGAGTTCCTGCAAATCAATGAAACAAGAATATAAGATCAAACTTTTAATGTGTGCGCGCATGTGATTGCCCGCATGCATGGAGTAATACATCAATATAGTCCCGAAAATTAGTGGCACTAATCAAATTAGTCCTTGAGTTAGAAAAATATCATTTAAATCCCTAATATATCAATCGACAATCATTTTATTATTTGAAGTTATAAAATGATCATCATTTTAATCTTTGAAATTATAACAATAAGGATTAAAATGACCTGTATTTGAAGTACTAAAATGATATTTTTGTAATTTTAAGGACTAAATTGCCTGTTACTTATAATTTGACGAACTAATTTGATGCATTACTCTTCATGCAAGTGTTAACGTAGAGAATCTAAAACCATAGAGTTTCCTTATTGGTGGGCACTAGCTAATAATAAGCCAAAAACGTGTAACTAAAATAACCTCTTTGACTGTTTTTGAGATCATTCGATTCACAAAGAAGAAAGAATAAAGCAGGTTCAAGATAAAGCATGTCATATACACACTGTTAAAAATTGTAAATCTATCCTGTAGCACAAGCCATTCCACGTCTTACCAATACCAAATAAATCTGATGAAGCTAAAATCTGCCAAGCTGCATCTCTTGAAGGGATTTTCTGTGAACAATAGTTTTGGTTGCTACTAGACTGCTGAATATGAAAATCCTTGATGAAAGAAGCAACAATCGTGCTGGAACTGGCATGTTAAGCAAATAAGATTCTTTTCATAAAATGCAGAAGTTTCACGTATCTCCAAGGCCTTCGGCAAGTATATTGCTAACAGAATCTTCTGTGGCAGAATTATCAGACCACAATATTGCTTGATTCCTTCCTTCTCTAACATCAGATCCAATCAATAAATTATGAGTGGTTGCTTCAGGAAGCCAACCCTTTTCTAACATCAAATCCAGTAATTGATGGGCCTCATGTTCCTTCCCCTCTTTCCACAAACCAGTTATCAGTAAGTCACACATTGCTGAATTCAAAATTTCACTATCAGAAATTCTATCAATTGCACTAGAAATCATAGATAACTGAGAATGATTGGCTATAAATGACAATTGATCAAATAGTTGGTCTGGATCAGGTATCAAACCTTCATTGACCATCATATTGAAAAATAAAACACATTCCTTTACTTTATTTTGTTTACTCATGCCATGAATAAGAATACAATATGCTTCTACATCAAGATTGCTACCCATCATCAACATATGTGAGAGGAATACTAGCAACTCTCTCGCCGTTCCGGATTTAGACAACTCACGCATGATAGCAGTGTGTGTGGCAATACTGCAAGAAATACCACAATAATAAGCTAATTGCCATAGTCTTATGGCTTTGTTGACCTGCCCTGAGTCACATACACATTTTATCAGCTTGTAGAAGGACAAGGAATGAAGAGAACATCTCTTCATTGACATATAGTGAAACACTTCAATGGCATCTTGAAGGTGATTAATGTCACAGAGGTCACCAACTAATTCAGAATAAGAGGCAAAATCTAAAAGCCAGCATCTGGTACAAATCTGATGAAATAGTTCCATTGCTTCTTCATACTTGCCCAATCTACAGTTGCCAACTACAAGAGCAGAATATGTAGCATGGTCAAGAATAACAGAGGATTTGATCATTCTGCCAAGAAGTATATACGCTTTCTTGGTCTCTTCATTTTCACAAAGCCATCTAATAAGAATATTCCAAGATTGACAATCAGCTATATATTTCTCAGACATTGTCTCCAGCAGAACATTTGCTACCAGAATTTTACCAGCATTGCAGCAACCTTCAAGCAATGCATTGAAAGGAGCAGTTTCACAAACTTCTTTATCTTCTAAAAACAATATAGCCTCATTTATTTTCCCTAATTTACAAAAGCATTTTATTATATCAACAAGGACATCATGTTTTGGTGCCATCCCACTTTCTATCATCTCATTAATGAGGCATATAGCAGAATCCAACTGCATGTTTTTGCACAAGCACCGTACTAGAACCTCATAAATAAAAGGATCTGGCACAAAATCAGAATCTTGCATTATTTTAAATAACTTTACTCCCTCCTCTACCTTTTCTTCCCTGCAAAAGAGAGGTATACAGCAGGTATAGAAACTCAAATCTGGTTGACATTTGACATTGAGCATTTGCTCTAAAACAGTTGTAGCTTCATCCACTCGACCATTTTCAATGAGACCCTTTACAAGAATCTCAAAGGTCTTACTATTTGGATCGCATCCTTTATTGTTCATTCTTCTAAATTGATCCAAAGCCAAGTCAACCCGATTGGTGGCAAACAATACCTCCAACAAATAATTCAAAGTGCGGACTGTGGGTAGGACACCTGCCTTCACCATCTCTTTATAAACAAACAAGGTGTTTTCAAAATCTCTTCTCTCTTCTTCCAGAAGAGCACCCAACAAAAAATTAAAAACTTCAATTGGGGGCTTATAACCACCCAAATTCATGTTCACTAAGACAGTAATAGCTTCTTTAATCCTACAATTCCTCAAAAATGTGTGAACCAATGCTACAAGAGCTTCTTCAGTACCTGGGCACCTGTCCTTCACCATGTTTTGACAAAAATCCCCCAATTGTAGAACATTCCCAGCCATACCCAGTTTCAAAATTATCCTAAAATATGTGTTGGAAGTGTGGTGAAAACTTTTCTGACGAGAAGCCCATTTGAATATCCTCACTGCTGAGTTCAAATCGCTGGCACGGTCCAAAACCTGGATTAAGTTATCTGGGGCAAGCTTATTCCTCAAAAAGTTGATACTTTGGTCGAAGTCAGATGAATCCTTGGGCTTAACAATCTCATTGGTTTCTGAAATATCTGCAATACAGCTTGAAGAAAGATAAACCCATTGGAGGAATCGAGTAGGATATGCCGAAGAAGGGAGCTTTATTGCCATAGAACCAAGCATGAATTTTTCCAAAAGGGTAATTGAAGGAATGAAAAATGAAGACAGACATATACAAGGGGAAATTGGAATCTGACCTGAGAACCGAGAAGAACGTTGTCGAGAATCATGTATCAAGTAAAGTAAGTCAAAGGCATGAGTGGGTTAATTATCAAGTAAAGAGCACTGCAAATTTTGTCTGTGGACTAACAATTTTCGAACTTGCTTTTAGTAAATTTGGTTTTTAACAATTTTTGTACTTTTTACATATAGGGATGGCAATATAGGGATGGCAATGGGTAAAGTACCCAATGGGCACGCGCAAAATTTATCCATAATGGGTAGGGTATTTATCCGCTATACGGGTATGGGTATGAGTGTGAGTAAAAACCCGCAAATTTTAATGGGATGAGTGTGGGTATGGGTATCTAAGTACCCATCCCGCCCCATACCCGCATATATATATATATATATATATATACTTGAACTTTATTCTACAATTATACATTAAATTTTTGTATTATTATATTACTTATGTGAAGTTATATAAGATTAATATAAAAATATATTTAATAATAAAGTAAACCAAAAAATTTATTTTGGTTTATATTTTTAATAGAAAAATTTATTTACTATTTTATATCATTTAATTAGGCTAACACAATTTAATTATTACATAGTTAATATAAGATTGACTTTTTTTAAAATATTATTTATATATGACACACATAAAATATTTTTTACACAAATATTTTTGTTAATAAAATCATATTGATGTTTAAATCATAAAGTGAATGATAAATAATAAATATTTTATAAATTTTACAATCACCTATTATTACTGTAAACTTATTATTTATTAATAATATTTAAATTTTATTTTTATATTTTAATTTAAAATAATATTTTTCTATGTAACATATGTATTAGAAGCACAACTATAATCTATTGAATCTAAATAATATTATTCTTACTATTTATTCACATTCAAAAAAGTTTTTGAAAAGATATAAATATAAAAAATTATTGTTAATTTTTATTTGTTAATTTTTTTAAGATAAAAAAGTATAATTTTTTTAATATACATGTATATTTCTTTATTATAAAATTTTATTGTAACTATTTATCTTTTATTCAAATTCTTTTTTTTTAATTTATATACATTATAAATATTTAATTCACTAAAATAATTTTTCAAAAATTTATATTTTTGATAAAATACTTTCGTATAGTATATGAGTTAAAAAATACTAGTATTAATATATATATATATTAATTATATTATATTATTTTAATTAAATCTATTATTTTTCTTACAATTTCAAATTCAAAAGTTAAAAAAAATATTTTATGTATCAACTTTCTGTTATTAGTATCGAACTTCTCTACTTTAACTCTATTCTCATTCTCAATGTCTGTCTCACTAAAACTTAATAACTATGAAATGTTATTCATTAGAGTTAGTTGTTAATGTCGTCACAAGAGGTTACTAAGTGATCCCACACGAAGGGACAACCATTGTATAAATCTATTTCATTGTCGTTTTGACATTACCAACAATCAAATCTCACACAAGATAGAATTATCATTGACAAATAACTTGTGTGTTTAGTTTTTGCTTATTGTTTCTAAGAATTTTACTTTAGAAAATTATTATATTAAGATACATTTAACATTTATTATCTTTGAATATTTGTTTTTTATCTATATTTGTACCTTGTTCGGCAACTACATATTGAATTTTTTGTATTATTATACTATTTATGTGAAGTTATATAAACATATTTTTCTTTATAAATATTTTTTTCTCAAACAAGCGCGAGTAATGGATACAAGACGGGTATGCGGGTACCTAAAGGGTACGGGTACGGGGATTAATATTCATACCCACGCGGGTATGAGGCCGGGTATGGGTATTTTTTTAAAACGCGGGTACGGGGATGAGTACTGTAATACCCTACCCATACCCTACCCATTGTCATCCCTATTTACATTTGGGGCTGTGAAATTAAGATTTAAGAATATAAAAGTAAAAAACTTAATAAAAATTTGAGAAAATTTATTGAATTTTACAAATTGTAAGTTTATGATTTAAAGAAGAAAGTTTTAAAATTTATGGAAGGTGATGATCTTTTTGTTACAAATGTGATCATTTAATCGATAAATTTTAAGTGAAAAACAGTTTAATTGTTTCAATTTATTAAAAAAATGAGTGAAAAAATTAAGATTTTTAAATATAAAAAATTGACAATTTAATTTATTTAATTTTAAAAAATTAAATTGTTAAAGTTATGAACAATTTAAATTATAACATAAAAAATTATAATTAAACTTTTATTTTATTGATCAAAGAATTTTTATAACTTTAAGATGCATGTTGTTAAATATTTGAAGGAAGAATTTGGTCTTTTATTATGGTCCTAACTCCGATGTCTCTAATAAAAAATTCCTGTAGTCCAGGAAAAAAAATTAACTAAGTATATATAATATATAATCAATTAATTATAAAATTGAGCGATTATGATAAAATTTCACTTTATAGTATAAAATCGCCAAAGTAGCAAATATCTTTCCCAAAATTCTTAAATAATCCAAAATGTATCCCTTAGACCTGACAGGTGATTACATTAATACAATTTAATTTAATCATTGTTTCATTTTTTATTTTGTTAACCAAATAGTGATTTTAAGAAAAATAATCCCCGTTAGGTATTGAATTAAAAATGATTTTATTATTTTGTTTTATGTTCAAAATAATTATCATCAAATATTTCTAAGAAAATTAAAAAATCAATTACCTTAAAAATGTAAAATTGTAAGCATGTATACGAGTAGAACCTTTTTTCTAATTTACTAATAGGTTATAAATTGAGTCTAATCCAATGTTTTTAAACCGATGAAGGCATTGGTTCATAATTTATTGGTTCTATTGTAGTTAAATTGAAATCAAACCCATAATAATAAATTTTTTAAATATTATATTAATATATTAAATAGTAAATTAATATGAAATTATAAAAAGTAAGTTAATTAAAACTTTTAAAAAAATGTACATATTATATATAATAAAAAATTATAATAAATAACCAAATATTAATAAAATTATATATAAATATGACGTATGAATTTTTATTTAATTTAAAAATATTTTAGAATAAAACTATTTTAACAAAATAAACCAAAAAAAATTACAGTGACCGGTTCGAACCAGTTTTCTAGCGGAGTTCTTTTTCGATTTTGACCAGTTTTAACCAATTTTCTGCTTCACCGATTTTCTAGGCCGACTGACCAGCTTCAGATTCAACCGGCCAGTCGAACAAGAGAAGATTCAGTCTCGCAGCACTGCAGCTTCGCTCAGCTTCACTATATATAAGCTTGCTAACACTGCACCCTATTTCCAAACCTATAACTAAACGATCAAACTCAACTTATTTAAATAAATAAAGCAGTATTATTGTGAGCTAATTCCAAATTAATCAAAATTTCTAACAGCATCAAATTAAAATTCATTGATTGAACCGAACCTTAGGAGCTTGTGATGGCTCTAAAACAGCTCGGTTTCACTTACCCGTGATGAGCAGACTGTGTCAACATCCATTCAAGTGCCAAGTGCAAATATTCGAAAGACAAGAAAATTTGTATTAAAGAAGACGATTTGATCGTTATTCAAGGTTCTATTTATGCAACAAACAAGATTAACTTCCAACAAAAAAAAAAAGTTGCAAGTAAATTTCAAATGCGATTAGCATACCCTTAAACTATTTACATTATACAGTGTATTTATTCAGACAGATATGATGTACTGGGTTTATACACAAAAGTTACTAACACTACAGGAAATAGAAGGCTGCAGGGCCGGAAGACCAATTCCCGACTGAATGACCCAAATTCCCGATTCTAATTTGATAATAAATAATAAAACATTAAACATCACAGCTCCATAAGCACCATCACTGCAAAAGATGACCTTTTGGTTCCACGATCTATGATCATTTCTAAATACTCCATTTACGTGATTGTTCACACTGAAAATCCCCCAGAAACACACTTGTTGCATGTGTCAATGTAGTAAACCATGAGCTTCAGGGAGGATCTTAAAGAGTACAGTTTCCTTCAATCTTTAGCAATTTAAGTGTTGCTTGACCGGTAGTTAAAAGTCCTGCAACATTTTGAAGATATAACCAATAAAATGTAGGGCACACAAGAAGCTACTGGATTGCATTCCACATTCTCCGGAACAATATGATTTGGTAGACCATTTCTCTAGTGATACAGGAAAAACACTGGATTATCACCCAACTTTTACTGCCAGCAATGCATACTTGGCCAATATCCTCGATGCTATTTACGAGGCTTAAGTCAAATGATCCAAGGAGTTCAGTCAAATAAGTCAATCTCAAAGCAAAACTCAAATGTTTTGGTAGGCAGAACATGAGCGGAAGCCAGAGTTTACAGAGGAAGGGATTCCGATTCCAAGATAGATCCACTATGATGGATAACAAGTCCATAGAGGATGAGAATTTGGAACCACAGCAACCAAAAGAGACTTTAGGGTTCTGTATGTTTCAAGTTTCATATATTGTCCAAAAGCTACTTTCTTTCTCCCTTGAACAGAACAGAAGAATCTTGCCAATAATCATAATAATAAGATGTAGCATTCAAGGTACTAATCATACTATAGTTCATCGTTACTACCTACCTAAAAAAAGCGGTTTATTTAAATAATTTCTAATTTCCTGGTCCAACTGGCTGTTAATATATATTCAGTGACAGTAACATTTTGAGTTTCACAGCATGCCTATTGCAGTTATGGGCATGCTATGACCTCTGAATCAGAATTGTCCTCAGCAAGAATGATGTTAAGTGGTTGCCAGCCTGACTGATGATGCACCATCCATTTTTTAAGGGTAATCACCATGTTCAAAATTTGAAGGACATCACCTAAAGAATGATTTTTCAAGCACATATTCTTAATCACAATACCTGCTTCATACCTAGAGAAAAGACAAATATAGATATGAGACAGAAAATTTTCAGTAAGTGAAAATAAACAAAATTAGAAGATCCTTACTTGCACAGAGTACCCATTATCGCTGATCTTCCAGAAGGAGTACTTAGAAATTTTTTAATTTCATTCCATGTTTCTTGTGAGTGCTGCTTAGGATTTCCACCTATTGGGTTTACACACTTCCAAACCTTATCATTCTTACCAACATACAACTGCAAAGCACCTACATTCTGCTTAACCACCATCTGCTGCTCAATAGCACTGTCCAGGGCCTTCTTGATGTCAGTGTTGCGGTGCTTGGGATCTCCATATCGAATGCAATCTGTTATATTCGATTCAGTTGGCATAATTTGTTCAGTTTTTAGTGTGTTCAAAGCAAGTAAAACAACCCCTATTAGACCTTGGATGTATTCAGAAGGTTTAGTGCATCCTGAAGATCCCCACATATCATTTCCAGGAAGGTTATTACTACCCATCGATGCCAATGAAGACGGTTGGTATTCTGGACCATGCGGATAGCCATTATACAATTGCTGTACACTATGTACCATATGTCCATTTTGTTCGTCAGTTGACCTTACAGGATTTAAACCATTACTGTTAGAACTCTTTTTAGAGTCTCTATTCCTTTGTTTAACAGGGTGAGGATAGGAAGCATTACTAGGATATCCAGAAATGTTCAGATTGCCAATATCTGGTGGTGCATTTGTAAGTGGTCCTGCAGAGAGGATGGGTCCACCAGTCCTATGTGGCACTATTGAAGTTGCAAAAGTTTGGGAAATTGAAGAAAATGAATTACTTGATGCCAAAGGAGGTTGCAAAGGAAAACTGTTTGATCTTACTGGCTGTGAATAGGAATTTTGATGATTGCTCTGTAGATTACCATTATTTCCCCACAACTGATCAGGGTTGCTATGAATAAAATTTAGGGAAGATCCACTTGGGGGAACATTAGGGCTATAGTTGCCAGGTCGTGAAGAGTTTATATTGGCACAATTTTCTTGAAGTCCAATAGGGGCAGCATGCATGGCCTTGGGTCCATTTGGTTTACCTGAATTTCTCCCAGTCGTTTTCCCATTTTGTCTAGAATCAAATTGCCTTCCGGTGTTTGGAAATTTCTGATTTCCTGTATAAACTTCTGAGAAGGAATCCACGTGCTGCGGTATCTGAACAGCATTAGAGACTGGAATTGATAAGGTGTCAGAAGATGATTGGATGCTATTATTACCAAGTTGTTGTGATTCGCCATTCATAAGAGGAGGTCCTCCAGCTAAAAGACTAGTCCAAAGCCATACACTCTTAGCAGCTGCAACTAAGGGTGCAGAAGCGTTTTGAGGTTGTGCAAGAAGAATATTATACCTCCTCAGCCGCAATTGATGAAGTGCATTGGAGAAGTCTCGGTCACCAGAAATTAATAAGTAATTAGCAGGTGCAGGATTGTCCACTGCCCAGAATAGCATGTCAACAAGAATCTTTTTGTCACTTGCATCTTTGACGCCTAGTAGCAGATATGGAAACATCAGTTAGACAAAATCATAATTCTGAATTCCAAATTATCGTGAAACAAATAAATTCATGACAAATTATTCCTGGAATGCTTATGAAACGTTGACAAGGTTATTTGGACAGAGGAGACTAATAAATCCGGTAAATTTATAAGCAAACCTCTTACTAAGTCACTTATAACAGATTGCCACCCAAGCTACCCATATGACTGTTCAAATTCCCTCTTTAAAATAAAAGATAAGCACAATTAAATACAAAGAAAATCAAACATACTAAAAACTAGAGAGGCAGAGAAGAAAACCTAAATCTCACTGGTATAACTATAAACCACGGCATTGAAAAAAGGATTTCTAACAAGCAGAGCAATAAGCAAAATTACGGTTTGAAACTCTTCTCTCTCTCTCTCCTTTTTTGTTGTTTAAAAAAAACACAAAATCTAGTGCTTCATAGATCTGATTAAAACGCGTGTTGTTTGATCATAGAGGCAAGTACGTTATAAGGCTTGGTTACTGGAAAGAGCACATCGCGGGATTGTTCTTCCAAAATCGGAGTAGCACAAATCACAGAATCGAAAACAACAAGTACACATATAGAAAAAAAAAAACAATGATATCGATAAGTCAGGTTATCCCTGCGATTCGCAATCAATTATATTCAAGGAATTGAATATTTGTATAGCAATGAAAAAGTAAAGAAACCTAACTTAAACTGATGCATTCAACAGTCGAGTGGAAAAAGAAGAATAGATAGATAGATAGATACCGGCGGGGACATGGTTGAGGGATATGCCGGTGCTGGAGAGAGCGTGTTGAACGGAGGCAGTGATGCGAGTGGTGTCGCCGTAGGCGGAGATGGAAACGGGGCCACAGTAGTTCATGCGAACGAGTGCGGAGCTAATGTTCTGCGCAATGGCGTGGGGATCGCACCCTTTCGGAACATGGCAGTTTTCAATGTCCCACCACACCGACGTCTTCGCCGACGAATACTGCGCCTCTGCGAGCGCCGTCGCTCCGCCTCCGCCCCCGCCCATCAAGCAAAATTCTCGAACCTTCTTTATTAGTTCTGTCTACCGTACGATAGAGTCAAAGGGATTCTTCACTTGTGGTTACAGTTACGATTGCGGAAAAGTTTGATGCATAGAGGAAAGGAACTGTCTCCAACTCACCATATGTGATTTGTCATATTTGCCCCTGGGCTTGGAATATTACAAGTGATTGACTTGTTCCTTGATGGTAAGTCACTTCCTCTGCCCTCTTTCGCCTCAGCTTCCTACGTGGGACATATTCGCATATTTCGTGTGATACACTGCATATAACGGTATTAAAAATGTTCTTTTTATATTATTTATTAATTATAATAGAAAAAAACATTTTTATATCAGTATAAGTTTAAAAAATTTTACACTCAATTTAAATATTTTATTTAATTTATATATAATAATAGTAAAGTAATAAATTATAATCCATTTAATATATGAATAATTGTATTATTATAATATTCTTAATTTTTTATTTAATTTATATAATAATTTATAACAAGAGAAGAAAATAAAGTAAATTTTTTTTTATATTTATAAATTAAAGAATTAAAGAAAAGTAAAACTTACATTTCTATTATTTAATTCATGAAAACTCAAATGCATATAAAAAAATTAAAAGAAATAATTTCAAATTTTTAAATAAAATAAAAACTAAAATTTATATCTTAACAATTTACTTAATTCATGTTACATGCACGTATAAGTTTAAAATATAAACAACATTGTCTTTCAACAGAGTAAATTTTTATCTAAAATTAAATATAAACTACAATCAAAATGTCTAACTATCAAATATTACATATACATTTTAAATCATTAATTATAATAAAACTATTCAAAATAATATACATTCAAAATAAATAATATAAAAATGATTACATATCCTTGTCAACTTTAAATAAGAACTTAATCAGAATTATTATAATCTTCAAATTAATCTAAAACCTAATAAAACAATTCTTCCTTACAATCACATTGAAAATATGATTCTAGATCGAATCAACTTTCTTTAATTTCTTTAACTTCACTTCCTAAAATAATTTATAAGGGTGAATATTCTCCACCCCACTAAATACTTTATTTTATAAATGAATCAAATAATACAAAAAATATTATTTAATACAAAAGCATTATTTAATACATAATATATCAAAATAATGCTAGCTCATATACTATATTCATGAATTTACAGCAAATTGAACGTGATAAGAATCATTTCATCAATATTCTAAATCATACACTAAAATTATAACATTCCATAAATTCTTACATCGACCAGTATGTCATAATACATGTGTCATAATCATATTAAATTGCAATACATGTATCATAATTACACGTGTCGATGTATTACAATACCTGTATTATGATCACACTAATGAATTTGTTATAACTCACTTATTATAATCACACATATCATAATTCTTTTAGGCCTATGCACACAGATAAAACATATACAATATAGAGCTCATTAGCAAATGTATAGTCAAGAAATAAGTGTGAGGCGATGTGATGCATTTGCATTCAATAGATTGTGCACACACATAAGTGAATGTCATTCATCATCCTATATTTCTCTCAGATTTCTACAATTGGCTCCATGTTCTATATTCTCAGTGTATCTCTGTAACTACCCATACTCATTTTAGTCATTTTTTCATGATACATTTTCTTAGTAATTCTCAAATATTCACCTTCATTTCCTTTCATCACTCTTCTCATCATTTAGTTAAATGAAATGTGTCTAAGTTCACACACATCCAAACTTAGTCCAAGTCACATAGATATAATAAAATACATTTCACCATTCAGAAACAGTCAAACACTCTTCATCAATTTTACGTAATCAACCAAAATTCTCATTTACTTATATATTCATAACACGAAAAGCATACCATCATACAAATCAATATAATGTGCTGAAGATCACTACAGGTTACGTAGTCAGAGTGAACAAGATCTGATGTTCCAAATCCAGATCCGCTGCTAGTCTTTGCTTCAGTTGGTCTACCTACTGTTTGCAAGATCCAAGGTTTATTATGCTTAACGCTCTCTAACACCATAGCGAAGAAAGGGATTCTCCTCCACTTCTTTACCTACCTTACTTGACTACATTAATCAACTTAGGAATTCTGACTGTTTTAGAAAAAACTGCTATTGAACGCTAGTCTTTCTCTTGTGAACGACTCCGCTGCAAGAAGAGTAAGCGCTCTTTTCAATATCCGGTGTGTTCGTAGCGTAGGAGCTCTAAGCCTATCTGCTGTTGAATAAGCGGTGTGCAGATGAATAACCGCCGGTGCACTAATAGGAGTTTACTAAGGAATAAGAGCTGTTGTCGGACGTTAATCAGTAACCGGTGTGATGTTAGCAATTGAATGCGTATCGGCTGTGATCCTTTCTTTTCTGCTGTGATTCAATTTTGAAGCGCGGGTACAGTAAGCGCTGCGGATCTGATCGTATGAAGAATTATACCCTCATTCGATCTCAGATGGGATGAATACAAAGGAAGGCAGGGAGTAGCACTAGTCTCAGGGACAAATGCCACATAAGAAGGAAAAGTAGCTGCTCTCGAATGCCCTCTTGCTGTTCTCGAATAAGCTGTTGGGGGAAGAACCGCAGTAAGGACAGACGTCTCGGGGGCATGCCCTGAATCGTCTTGATGCAGAGAATCGTCTTTAATTCGTATGGGAAAACTTTAATATGACTATCCTGGGATTCCTAGTAGTGCACTCACTCCCTTTAGAGTAGGGTTAACACTAACTAAGGGCAAGCTCTTACAAGTGCATGTATGCACCAATATTCTCATTAAGGCAAAACGACGGAAAGAGAAAAAAGACTAGCGACAATGTCCAATCGGGGAAAAATATTCATAAAGGATGTTATTGGCTTATTATAAATTCATTTATAGATACAATAGTCTATTGACTGAGATGGATGTTGCATCTAGCTATTTCTCTACTTATACTTAATAAGCTCAGAGGTTTAGGAGACTAGGAATGGTATAAGTCCCTCTCTAACTGTTGAAGAAAGACAGAACGAGAGTCAAGAAAGAAGGGGAGATCATTTCTTGCGGTAGCCCCTAGGCGACATTTTTCTGTGAGATGCGAAGAATAGCTATCTTAGGCCTATGATGCGTGTTATCCGGGAATGTATATCGCTTTAACTTAACATCCTAGGAAGCTACTACTTTGTCAACGAGACTCCTTTCCTACAGAAAGACCTAACCATTGGTCGTAGCTCCTACCTACATGTAAAAGGTGGAGTCCGGAATTTCCTCCCCCGGCAGAGCTTCCGACGATTCAGCTATTTCTTATGCCCCACCTCTATGACCGGCCGGTAAGCAAGATCCGATATGTCAGTTCCTTCCCTCCCACGGATGCTGTCTCAGTCAAGAGATTCGGCCGGCTGAGTCGCCTTTGCCAGGTATTCCTCTTCATTGAATCTGATTTTTCTTCAAAGGCTGTAAGGACAGGAGATGCTCTTTCGTCGGCTGATACTGGTACAGCTAACTTATTGGCATCTGCTATAGGATGAACCGAACGGTAAGTCAATAGTAAGCGCGAACGGCTCACAGACCTCTCCGAGGCAATGACTTTGTAGCCGTCATCCACAGGTAATGGGGCAGGCACAACAACTGCAGAGCTAGCCCATCCTTCTCACTTCACTCCTCTTGCCCTAAGGCTTGGAACTGAAGGTCTGGTAACTTAACTTCGCAAGCTTAAGGGTAAAGAGAATAGCCGGCTTCTTTTCATCCCGTTCTAATTCTAGTTTTGGTACCAGCTTTATGTGGTGATTGTGGTGTTATCGGGCACAAACCCGAGCATTGTAAGGCTGCGAAGAAGAAAGCCAAGCAGGTTTGGGTCCAAAAGAGCTCTCAAAATATCTCCAATCCAGGTGGGGACTGATGTGATCACCCAGGCGATGTGATCACTAGGCGAGGGCGGGGAGTGATTGTCGGTGCAATGTGGCACGGACAAGGAGCGACTACCTGGCAGACTTCTAGCGGTAAGGGGCACATGAATGAATCGAACTTATATTGGAATAAGAGGGAAATCCAGAGACTGTGTATACAGTTAATGATAGCTTAAAATAATTGATTAGGAATACATATACCAACAAAATGCATTTACTTTTTGGTGGCCTATCCCTTAAGAACGCCAAAGTTAAACGTGCTTAACTTGGAGCAATTATGGGATGGGTGACCTTTTCGAGAAGTTTTCGGGAAGTGTGCGAGTGAGGATAAAACACACTGAAAAGTCTCGTGTTAGTTTGTGGGGACAAATTCCTATAAAACATCCTCTAGAGCAATGCAAGGATCCCTTTCAGTAAAGTAGGCCGCAAGCCGTGCTCCATGTGCAAGGTCTAGCACAAGCGTTTCACACATTACCTTTAGGGGCTAGACCAAGATCTTCTGGACTGGGGAAGCGTACAAAAGAAAAAATAATAAGCATGCAACATATCCACGTCGGTTTTTTGAATTCTTTTTTTTGATCCATTATTTTTATAACTTCAATTGGCACGTTTTCTAGGATAAGAAGAAGAAGCTATAATAACCACAGGTAGAAATCTCTGACTTTTTAGGGTATCTTTATTAGGCTTTATTTTTTTATTTCGTCGTTATTGTTTGAGTTTAAAAAAGAAATATGGCCCTAGACTTGTAATATATATATGGTATTACTCATCTCTTTCTATTGCTATTCTCTTTGCATATATATGGCTTCTATTTTAGGTCCTTATGTGGGAGATCTTTTCTCTAAAATATTCAAAGTAAGGCTAGGGCAAGGACTTCCAGCCCCTTCCAGCCCCTTCCAGGATCTCAAATTCGTCCTTTGAGGATTCTTTCGAAATCAGTGTACTTATGGAACCCTTCCCTCAAGAAGGAATTGTTCACAATCGGAGCCTAGAAAGCTCCATGCAGCATCGAATCATCAGACTCGAAAATGATGGAATTATTTTCTTGCTGAGAAAATAAAATGGAGAGTATCGGCATGATGTTAAGGGTGCATTGGATCAAGCTCCCTCCCAAAATGAATATAATGGATTAGTAGCCTTCGAAAACTAGGATCTCCAGATCTGGAAGCTTAGACATAATTGTGTTCGACTCTTTCATGACGTACTCTTACAAAATCCTGAATTGACGAAAAATGTTGCGTACAACCCGCAGGA